TTTTTGGTGATTGGGGGGGGGAGGGATTGGTATTTTATAATTGTATTTTTTGGTTTATATCTTTACTCATTTGTTACAGTGAAATATGTAATAATAATGCGCAATATGCATTTGTTTTGTTATTTTTAACATGTTCAAGTATTAAGGAAAAAAGTGTTGCTCATTTCCAACTATGTACGAATAAATGCGTGCACAAGTAAGCTTTAGTTTATAGATTAGTATAAACGTATGCGAATAACAAGTTAAGGTACAAGAAGTTGGCCTACGAATCAAATTATGTAAAAATACGAAACGTCACTCAATTGTTACAATGAAGGGGACATAACTAATCTTCACCACGATCATGATTTGTACTGAAGAGTTAGTTATACACGAGTGGCAAGTTTTCGTAAACAAGGGCAAAAAAACAAATCTGTAAAAAAGACCCGAATTAGTATTATGATTGTTGACAAAACTTTGGACTTACATGTACTATTAAAATGCTTCACATTAGGCATACAACATTTTCTAAATATTTGATTACAAAAATGTTTATTTTTAATGTATTTTTTTAGAGTTTGTGACGACGCTAAGGTTGACACACGCCTCTTATTTGTTTATCTATACACAATACACAAGAGCCCACGGTAACAAATTAGATACGATCACTTGGTGTTTATTATTCTTTTCGGTTATTCGGGGCATTTAACGGTTAACAATTTCCTATTTACGAATTTCAATAAAGAAAGAAAAAACAAAACAAAACAAAAAAACGTACATTTCCGACGTATTTTGTTTTACATTTTATCCCCATTTTTATGTTTTAAACATTGATGCTATTTTATGCCACCAGAAACCAATCGGATTATCTCGGCTATTATCAATACTAACTGACAGAAAGGGTCGAAAAGTGACGATTGCACTAGAACCCGGAATTCACAAAATGCACGTGAGCGCGAAGAATTCCTGTGTCATTGAAAATGGTTGCTACAAAATTTCAAGTAACTGTTTCTTAAGCTACCACAGGTTTTCTTGCACCAGTGTGACACCAGGTCAGGTAACTGAGTTTGCACATTCTATATGATTTGCCCTTTCTGTCCACTATTCAGTGAGGAGGATATGATGTGTAAGCAGTCGGATAGTTCAATCAGTAGAGCCGAGGTACGGTGTTTCGGGGCTCCTAGTTCGAGTCCCGGTCAGGCTGCACACTTTCTCACCCTGTGAAATTTCCATCAAATCTCAGTAAAATACGAAATTTTGACGAGTATACCGAATGGAATTTATGCCTTATGAACAATTATAATTTAATCATTGTAAAACAACAATACACGAATGTTTAAATGTGGACAATAATAAAAACCCCCGTATTACGGCGGCGGGATGGAATCACTGCATGAGGGCGTTTTAAAATTCCAAAGATAAGGTGGTAATAAATTTTGGGTTTGGGTTTTTAAAAAATTTACAAATAGGCCCCATTTATTGCTAAAAACAAATTGTCCTTTTAAGGAAAAATCTGTAAGGTTTTTGGACCGTTTTTTTTTTTCGTTTTAGGGACTTTTTTTTGAGCCCAAAAGGTTAAAAGTGAAGCCTTAGAAAATTTCCCGTGAAAATGTCTGTTTTCTGTTAAAAAATTCTAAAGTTTAAGTAAGGGAATTCCTGTTTAATATAAGTTATCCTTGGGGGTCACGAAAGCAAAATTCCCCCCCGTGGTTTTTTTCTTGAAATTTTACAGACGCTAATCTTGTCCGGTCGAAAAAAAATGCTCGTTTAGGCAGATCAATTAAAAATTTGTAACAACTGTTCAAGTTTAAATTTTTTATAATTTCCCTCTTTTTTTTTTCTGAAATTTCCTAACCCCATTACCATAGCAACTAGGGACATCTCTAAAAATTGGGCCAAAAAGTTGATCACTATTTTGCGTTGAAATTTTTTCCATCAAAATTGATTTCAAAGTGCTCCACAAAATTGATTTAAAAGTGCCTACTTCTCAATGGATTGAGATAGAGTCAAAGGCTTTTCAGCATTGGTTACACGTTACCTTGTGATCGACCTGGGGTCATTTTTAGCCTCCAGCAAGTCCAAAGTTTTTTGGCGATGAGGGGGACTCAGCCCCTCTTCAAAAACCCCCCAAACAGAAGGGGGCACATCCCCTTCTGGCAACCCCCTGATGTATCTTTTGGTTGGGGGTGGGGCCGCGCCGAAAAAGTGGTCAATTTTTTTAAACAACATTTATCAAACAAAAACAAGTGTTTGGGGGCCTACATAAGGCATTTTTTTTCACATTTGAGAAAGCAAAAAAGGAGGGGGGGTGAACAGGCGTAGAAAGGCGTATATATCTGGTAATGGGTTAACAGAAAAAATGATTGAAGAAAAAAAAACGAAATTACCCAAAAACGCGTTTTTTCCATGTTAAAACATGGCCTCACATATAAATTTTGAAGAAAATTGCTGTTTTGTAGATTTTTTGATTTTTTCATTAATGCGGTATGTGCATCGAAAAAAGCTTATTAGCAACATGCAGTTACAATACAAAATGTTTTGATTTAGTACCACAAAATTTCACTATAAATAGAGAAATGAACATGAAAAACTTCATTTTCTATATTCATGCATGTGTGCTTGATCTGTTTTGTGTCTGTCAGTTACATGCATACAATACATAATTATGTATCTTAAGTTTAGCAGCGCACTCCCTTTTTAAGACATAACGCCAATTGCATATTACAGCAAGTAACTTCTGTAAGTGGATATTCATTTGCTAGCAATATGACATTATTTTCTCGAGGTAATAATGTTCATCGCTTTATGACAAATAAAGGCTGAAATTTACTTAATCGGCTCAGATTATAAATTTATTAAATTGATGTAATAAAAGGGGAGACTATTAACCTCGCAACTGGTATCAGTGTTAATGTAAAATGGAAAGATAATATTATTGACAGTTTCAAATATTTTCCTATATTATCAAGTTCTTGAAAAACACGACAACGTGGATTCATTTCTTTAAATTTTCATGTTTGTAATAGCGTTGTAGTTTGCCTTTGAATTACATTTACTATTGCTAAACTATTAACAACAGTTCTAACATCACGTGCTCCCCATTTAACTATGTATTTTTTTCATTCATTTTAGTTGTAACCATGGCAATTATAAAGATGAACCTTTCGATGATTCATATCACAAGATGAAAATAAATCCTGTATTTATAGGAAAAAAAACTAGAATTTTTTTATTTGTTATATTCTTTTTCTCTTTTTTGACCTTTCAATTCATATGAACAGATCAAGCACACATGCAATGAACATAGAAAAATGAAGTTTTTCATGTTCATTTCTTTCTCTATTTATAGTGAAATTTTGTCGTACTAAATCATCACTTTTTGTATTGTAACTGCATGTTGCTAAAAAGCTTTTTTCGATGCACACACCGCATTAATAACTTTTCTATCTTGAGAAAATATTAGAAATGATAGTTTAACGTCTCAATTCCGACTAAAAGGACGCAAAGAAAAGAGGAATTGATAAAAGATTGAACTTGATTTTCTGTCAGAATGTTAGCCACTTTCGTGGTATTTCTGCCATCGACGGCAGCATTTATAATATGTATCTGCCTACAACGGCAGCATTTTTTCTTCGACCGGACAAGATTGAGCGTCTGTAAAACTTTCAAGAAAGACTCACGGGGTAGATATTTGGCTTGCGTGACCCCAATGGATGAACGTCTATATTGATAACAGGAAATCCTGCCATTTACTTAAAACTTGAGATATTTTGAACAGAAAACAGATATTTTCACGGATTTTTTCCAAGGCTTTCACTTTTAACCTGCTCAAAATAGTCTTAAAACAGGAAAAAACGAGTCCAAAATTACCTTACAGTATCTCCATTCAATGGACAATAGTTTTATAGCAATGATATGGGCCGTATTTGTGTAATATAATTAAACCAACCAAATTTATAACCTACCTGTACCGATCGGTAATTTTCAGATATCTGCCATCACTGCAGTGATCTGCCATCACTGCCGCCGGTAATACGGTGTGATATATAGAAGTAGCGATTTTAAAAACCAACAATGTCAACTTTCAATGGTAAAACTTTGATATGACTTACAACAATATTTCATTGACAAGTGTTTTTTTTGTATTTTGGAATGTAATTAACAGGCCAATGTTCAGGCATTGATATATATTTCTATTACGGAGATCTTCCTCCATAATTAACAAAGTTTTATGACCCATTCTCCTATATATAATAGTAAATTCAATATTTTGTTGGCAAATTTGTTTGGGGGGTATTTTTTATAAACTTTTTTTTATGAAATATGAAATTGTATTCAAACTAGGGCTCGATTCTTTCCATTTTAAATGCCAACTTTGTTCTTAGTACTAAAAGTAGGTTATATGCAGGACATTAAAAAAGTAAATAACAAATGAAAAGAATATTGTTCTTTGTTAGAGATGTCAGCATTTTTTCCCTTATATTTCAGCAATTCCCTCGATCATAATAGATTTATAATGCTACTAGTTTATATTTCCGCCCAGCCTATTTATATAAAAAGAATGTAGTTTATAAGTAGGACGTGCGAGTTTTTACCCATTGATGGAAACATGCCCGTATAAAATGTTTTCGGGTATACAATTTCACCCATTATCGTAACATTGACGTTAGAATATGAATAGAAATAATAATGAGCCGAGTCATGACAAAACCAACATAATGCGTTTGCGACCAGCATGGATCCAGACCAGCCTGCGCATCCGCTCAGTCTGATCAGGATCCATGCCGTTCGCTATCGGTTTCTCTTCTTGTACTAGAATTGGTAAGCGAACGGCATGGAGCCTGATCATACTGCGCGGATGCGCAGGCTGGTCTGGATCCATGCTGGTCGCAAACCCACTATGTTGGTTTTGTCGTGGCGCGGCTTAATTATTAATAACGCCCACACCACAGAACACGTAATATTCAAATATCCACCCTGGGTAAATCATAAAATCAACGAAATTCAATTATTTACATTGTGGATTTAACTTGCTATACAGGCGTTATAATTATACCCTGTTTATACACGAGCTGAACTTTTTTTATAAGATTTGCTTTTACATATTATTTGTACAGGATGTCCCCGGATGGTTTAATATTGTATTTATCGAAAAATAAACGTAAACGGAAAACACGAAAGCTATTGAAATCGTCAGATATAGACGATTTAAAGTTAACAGTAGAGGTTTAATATTCGATCATATTATGGAGAGATTTTTTTTCAAACCGTTTTACAATTTACACTGATTTATGAATGGATATTTACAGTGCTATGAACACTTGAAAATACGGGGAGACACGAGCTGTTATATAACCTCCCGAGTTCGGCTGATTTTAATATATACGAGGTGCTGTCAACTATATATGGTTTAAGTAATGCAAGAACAAGGTTTGTGCATTTTCATAAATTTTCTCAGATACTACGTTTTTCAACGGGAGTGTCATTTGTTAAATAGTGACTCATTTTTGTCAAAGAACGCAAAATAAGTGACAATGTTTTAAAAACGAAATATCTTAAACTGGACTACCTTGTTAATCAATTTTTTTACTTAATCATATTTATATTTTTATTTCTAAGATCGAAATACTTGTGTCTATTTGTTTCTATTTTTCTATTATTTTTAAATATTATTACTTTCGTGACAGGTTGTAGCAAAATGAGGTAAAGAAAATAACTTCATATCATAATCATTGACAAATATTAGTTTAACAATATTTCTTTACTAATTTAAAATGTACTTTCATTTCGGTGTAGTTAAATATAGCGTTAGAAACTACGTTGTATTTATAGTCAATAATTTTAACGATATGTTTACTAACGAAAAGTATAAACAAGCTCCTTTAAACAATTTCTTATTAAGGTCTTTTTTCTCTTTAATTCACGTAAAATACCTGTGCTTCCATGTTTAGTCACCTAGGACAGGACCTTAGTTTAATAGAATGTAGATACCTTTTGGTATAGGTTTGCATATTTTACTAGGTCTAACCAAAGATTTTAAAAGTTTGTATTTGTTTTAAAGCAGCATGCCTCCAGATGTGTCATTTTTTTCAATAAAATCAAACTTAGGAAAGATTCTACCAAGAATTTTAAGAAAATGAAAAGGGTTCAAGACTCAAGTAATTATTTACATGTTATGTGCCATTATATGATTGCTTTTTCAGTATTCATAACTATATTTCTACAGCGTTACTAACGCAGTAAGTGCTATTTTTGGATATTTTTAACTCTTATTTTGTAATGTAAGTGCCATTGATAGTGCGTAAATTGCTTCCTTTTAGATATTTCCCAATATTGTAATTTTAAATACATTTTCATGAAAATTAGCATGAATCTGGAGGCGTACTGCTTTAACGAACGAGAAAATATTCTACATTTACAGCTAAAGCTATCATGTATACAATCCTTTTCATGCATTGTCGTGAAAAATTCACGACATGTGTTTGTCATTTATTGATTGGTCATGCACCGTAAAGAGTAACATATTGTAAAAGTTTAAGAATATACAGTGTTAAATATATACAAAAAATATTATAATATGTTACATTGGCAATGAACAGATTGCATTTGATTATCTTGTCAAGATAATATATATAAAAGAACAAAAGTTCACGTCCATAACATATATAATATAATATCACATACCGCTTTTCGGCATTTGAAACACATAATATGACACAGTTTCACATACGTTACAAAATAATGACACAGTTTCACATACGTAACAAACGTAATGACACAGTTTTACAACGTAATGACACAGTTTCACATACGTAACAACGTAATGACACAGTTTCACATACGTAACAACGTAATGACACAGTTTCACATACGTAACAACGTAATGACACAGTTTAACATACGTAACAGACGTAATAACACAGTTTCACTTACGTAACAAACGTAATGACACAGTTTCACAAACGTAATAAACGTAATGACACAGTTTCACATACGTAACAAACGTAATGAAACAGTTTCAAATACGTAACAAACGTAATGACACAGTTTCCCATACGTAACAGACGTAATGACACAGTTTCACTTACGTAACAAACGTAATGACACAGTTTTACAAACGTAAAAAACGTAATGACACAGTTTCACATACGTGACACAAGTAATGACACAGTTTAACATATGTAACAGAAGTAATGACACAGTTTAACATACGTAACAGACGTAATGGCACAGTTTCACATGCGTAACAAACGTAATGACACAGTTTCACATATACGTAACAAAAGTAATGACACAGTTTCACATACGTAACAAAAGTAATGACACAGTTTAACATATGTAACAGAAGTAATGACACAGTTTCACATACGTAACAAACGTAATGGCACAGTTTCACATACGTGACACAAGTAATGACACAGTTTAATCATACGTAACAGACGTAATGGCACAGTTTCACATGCGTAACAAACGTAATGACACAGTTTCACATACGTAACAAAAGTAATGACACAGTTTCACATACGTAACAAACGTAATGACACAGTTTCACATACGTAACAAAAGTAATGACACAGTTTCACATACGTAGCAAAATTAATGACACAGTTTCACATACGTAACAAACGTAATGACACAGTTTCACATGCGTAACAAAGGTAATGACACAGTTTCACATGCGTAACAAACGTAATGACACAGTTTCACATACGTAAGAAACGTAATGGCACAGTTTCACATACGTAACAAACGTAATGGCACAGTTTCACATACGTAACAAACGTAATGGCACAGTTTCACATACGTAACAAACGTAATGGCACAGTTTCACATGCGTAACAAACGTAATGACACAGTTTCACATACGTAACAAACGTAATGGCACAGTTTCACATACGTAACAAACGTAATGGCACAGTTTCACATACGTAACAAACGTAATGGCACAGTTTCACAAACGTAACACACGTAACGACACAGTTTCACAAACGTAACAGACATAAAGATACTATTTATACTATTTATATACGATACAGATGATTATAATTTTGGTTTTTGGCTGACAATTAGAAATAGTGCAGTCAATTAAAAGTGACGCCCATTTTTTCGTTGAGCTTAAAGCTCTTTTACTTTTATCTGCATATGCCACGTTAAAGTGGCCTCCAGTTTTTATATTTTTGCTAGAAAAGCAATTTTGTGTTGTTTCAAACTAAGTATTCCAAACACTTTATCTTGGAAAAGTGCGTCATATCACTCTTAAGCCTCCCCCAAAACAGCGTCCCAAGAGCTATTTATAACGCGTCAGTGACGTTCGTTTCTGAAAATAGAAGATCGTGTCCGCTTTAGTTATAGATAAGGGGTATCGAGGGGTTTCCTTATTGTTTGTGTATTTTTTCGACGGAAAATTTAATTTTCCACCTAAATTCTATTGTTTGACACGATACTAAACGGTTTATCTAAAATAATATATTCAATCTTTAGAAAAACAAAAAGGCCGCTTTAAGCAAAACACGGCATACATTCACCTTCAATATAGCTGAATATACTTTTCAGTTTTCATCAGTTATCTGTTTCAACATCATATAACAAATGGATGTTTTACGATTTGGTCTTTACTTTGTGTCCATTGATAAAGTTACTTTATTAATGACTATGTAGATTAAACTTAACGACTTTGAATATGCAAATTAAAAACCTCAATCAAATTAATGACTTATAAATTAACTAAAGACTTAATAGCCTTAGCGCATGCACAGAAGTTCCATATCAATTATGACTGTAGTCAAAGCATCAATATCTGTGAAACAAATGTCCACCCTGACTGAGGCCCGCAAGAAAGATTAAGATATTGACCAAGCAACTTTTATATGGACGAGAATAGAACTATGTCGCCGAAATGTATGCACGAACGTCGTTCCTATACCATTTGCAGCTGTGATTTGACTCACCGATAAGGTGTATATATCTCCGCCATCCACCCCTTCTTAATGTGCATAACTTTAAAATTTAGCTCTTCTAACGGTCCTAGGATCAAGGCCGGGTGCTTTGGAACTTCTCCCATAAAAAAAAAACAAAATTAAGTTAAAATTGAACAGTGTTTTGTGGGAAGGGCAACTCTCTAATGTTGTAAAACTGGGTCCGACCCTTTTGCTTTTTATGAACAACTACAGCGTCCATGTAAATACTGTAGATTTATTCGATAATGTTTTGTTTTGACTTTGTATCTGTTTTTGTATAGAAAGGAAAAAAAAAGGAAAAAAAACAACAACAATAAAACTAAACTAAACTAGCACTCTTTTTAGCAAACGTGAATTTTGTTTTTACTAAACCTTAAACAGTATGTCTTCACCAGCGTTTTGCATAATTATTATTATAAAGCAACGACTTTTTGTAGAGTTTATAAATTTAACGACTTCAGTGCTTGGCCATATTTTTTTTCATTTTACTGTACATTATTATTCATATAATTTAGTCTTTAGTAATACTAATCTATAAATCTATAGCATATCATCTGTGCTTGAAATATAAATAAAGCTCGGAGTGAATACATTCTATATCACAAGTGCAAGTAGATTCTCCGATAAACTGACGTTTTTTTAGATTAATTTAGGAAAATGGCGGACACGTCCAGCACGTGAGTTTCAAATCTTTTTGTAAACAAGTATCTTTCACGTGTATCACGTGGTTTGTTGTTGTTGTTATTTTATTTATTCATTTTTATTTTGAAATGGTAAATGCAAAGTAATTTAGTTTGTATGCAACGATTCTTTGTAGCGTGTATTCATGCCTGCAATTATTGTAAGATCTTTTATTTATAATCATTCCAATAAAACCAACGCCTTTATTTAGCTTTCGACGTTTTGTCTTTTATTTTCAGAAAAAAATGACGTTAAACGATAAAAGTTAAGATCTGATTTCATTTTTCTCTGCGTTGATGATAATCACTTCTGTTACAAGTCTTAAAGGCGCATTATGACCCAAAATTGCTTTTATTTTTATTTCTCGAAAGCCTTTTATTTTTGTTGTACTTTTATAGCTTCCAAAAACTTACTTATTGAGCAATTACCTGAACCATCTTTTTCTTCTGTTACATACTGGCAGTTATAGTAAAATAATATTTTGTATGGAAGTCAAAATACCACTCAGTTTACATTTTGCTACTTTTATGACAAATAATTTCAAATTAAGCACTTCTTTCTTAAGATAACAAACAGATATTTAACATCTCCAAAAATAATATAAACGTTTATATATAGCACTCAAGTTTGCCATAACCAATGAAGTTAAAAAATACTCATTTCTGTGACATAATGTGCCTTTAAATGCACCCGTGCTACAATTATACCAAATGTGGTTTATTTATACACGTATATATGATTTGATCAGAGTTCTATCTTTGTTATTATCCATAATAGGGTAGATAGATATCCTAACGAAAAAATGTGAGGATAATGTAAGCATAACGTGAGCATAATGTGAGCATTATGCAACGATTTCATTGCGGGGTAAATCTTAAATATTTTTGCTGTAACATTGTGTATCTATATAAAGTTGTCATTGATCAATGTGTAACAGATTTATCAACAATTACTCACGAGTCGCATACGTTCTTTTTATTTTGAATGTTAGTTTATTTACATAGTTAATTGGAAAAAATGTAGAAATCAATCTGTTTTTGTGTAAATCTACAATAAGGCCCATTCACAAAGACTGTGTCACCATATGGATGACAGCATCTGTATAAAAACAAATATGCTTAACATAATTGTATTTCTCTTGTATAAACCATCACGAAAACTATTTTGCTGTCTATGGTGATATATTTCCATTGATAAACATGATATATAAAACTAAGCCTATGATGAAGTATAGGTATTAATATATCAGATATTTGATCCATGACAATTTAAACCTTAGATAAACTCTGTTTTATGATATAAACTTACACCTTTCATTGAAAAAAAAAGGAAATCAATTCAGAATGATCAATCATCATATCAAATATAATTTATTCTCCAGTTTTAAATGCCATAATTTTCGTAACATATTTTTAAAAATAATTATTGACATACGTTCCCCAAATCTTTGAATAAATGGTTCCAATTTTTAAACTTTTGTCCGTTTGAGACATTATTCAGAAATAGTGTACTCATCAGGAATAAGAATATTACTGAAAATTTCACCGTGTTACGATTGGTCGAAACGCGGTCACATGGCCTTCGACCTCGATGAATATCACATACCATGTAATGAAATATTCGCCTCATAATCATACAATAATTGTTCTCAATTCAAATATGATAAACTTATATAACTTGTGTTCTGTCGGTGATATTTGTTTAAAAATCACTAAATTTATCAATTCTTCTTTAATTTATGTTTACAAAATGCAATATTTTAAAAATAGATAGATATCTTAAATTTAATTATTATTTTAAAAGTGAAATATTGCGTTCTTATTTGTATAAGATACGCCTGATTGTAAACAAAAGTAAAATGTAAACATGTAATAAACTATGTAAGGACACTTGTATCAAACATTCTACCCCGTCACTTTATAACATTTATCGAACTACAAAGAAGGTAAATGAGAAATAGTTTAAATTAAGAGATACTTAAAGTTAATGTCCAAAAATAGCAGTTCCTTCTATGGAGGTGATGTTAAAATAATCAGTATTTTAATACAGTGAAATGGACGTGATAATTCTTGTTCAGGAAGTTTCGGTAAGTCTTTTATACGAATACAAGTTAAACCATAATAATAATAATAATAATAATAATAATAATAATAATGATAATAATGATAATGATAATGATGATGATGATGATGATGATGATGATGATGATGATGATGATGATAATGATAATGATAACAATAACAAAACAATAACAATAACAATGACAATGATAATGATAATGATAGTAAATGAATAAATGAATAAATAAATAAATACAGTCAACTATCGTTATCTCGACATCGCTTTTCTCGATATTTCGTTATCTCGATGAAATTTTGAAAGTCCCGATTTTCTTCCTTCTTTATCTATATTGGAAATATTTGTTTATCTCGATATTTCTATTTCGATATTTTCAGTATCTCGATGTAAAATTTCAGCCCAACAGTTATTTTCACACTATTATCCTTTGTTTATCTCGACTTTGTCTGTTCCCTTCAGACGTGTGAAAAACACAATCTAGACGATAATTGCTCAATTAATAGCGTGTGTCATAATGACGATTATGTTTGTAACAAGTTTAGCTGTTTTTATAAAAGTTAATCTATTTAGCGTGTTGATTGACTTATGTCCACAATGAGTGAATTTTACATTCTTTTTAAATATTCGAACACTGTATCAATTCATTATGACCTTAAATGTAAATGAAAAAGTGAAAGTATAGAAACGCTATCGTTGCAATATTGTTTCACAACATCACCACCAAATCAATCAGCGGTGGAACAATCTCGAGAAAGACCCGATAAATAACCCGGGAGGATATCCGGATCAACCATATCCGATATCCGATTCACTATATTGGTGTATTACTGAGTAAACATCACTATGTGTTTTTATCACAGACACCCGTATTTCCGCTGGTAAACATCCGCTTATGTTACTTTGTTAAATATTGACTAGGCCTATGAAAACAAGACATTGGGATATTATAGTTTATTTGACATAAGGTATGCACATGTCTTTTGTAAAAATCAGTTTCGCCTTGTTCTAACCCTAATATGTTTATCTCGACATTTCGTTATCTCGATATTTTTTGGACGGTCCCAATGACTTCGAGATAACGAGAGTCGACTGTAAATAAATAACCAATGATAATAATAATGATAATGATAATAATAATAATAATAATAATAATAATAAAGATGATGATGATGATGATGATGATGATGAATTTGAAGTTATTCGTAAGTATGGCAATTGTTTATAATGCCTCTCACATTAAAACTATATAAGATACTTCGTTGTGTTTAGTGCTGGGCTTTGTGTATAACTTTTAGATACAGTTAAACCCTGTGAGCAAATGCCCTAGACAGTGACAAGTTATGGCTTTAAAAGACATTTGGCCTTTATTTGCAGGGTTATCTTTATTCAGAGGTGATCTTTGTCACAGGTGTGACTATATATTGCAGCTTTCGGCACTTTTTGTCAAACACCATTTTTTACTTAATTTACTAACTCAAGGGATGCATATTTTTGCATATCTAAACATTTATCTAAGTTTATGGGATCAGTATTAATATCAAACTAAGTGATTGTTTTGTAAAGCTGTTTGTTTTAATTGAAAATGAGGCTAGCCTTTGATGTGAGAAAAATTATTGTATAAGCAATACATCTGTTTCAATAATTTCAAATCATCTCATTTAAAACCGTTCATATCTAATTTCTGTAGTCAGCGTATATATTTTCTTACCTTTGCGTATCTATCGATCTAACTGATAAATAAAATCGTTTCCTAATCTAACATCTAATTATCACGCTAACATCTGTGACAGTGTGGGTATTGCAGCACTGTGTCACATTCAGTCACTGTTTCTTATAGTACTCACCCACACTTAATGACAAGGTATTATGCTAAGTATTGTTGTAATTCCATTGTTTTCGGGAATAATCCTTCTCTATAAAAAAAATCATTAGGCGCGTTAATCATATTGTACCTGAAAACATTAAGAATAAGATTATAGTGATTTTATTATATGTTAGTAAACTTTGATCTTCTCCATTGTTGAACGAGCTGTTGATCTTCTAATAAGTATATGTTTATTTCTCTTTTATTTGTTGCTTTATGGCAAGTTGTTTGCTTCAAACTTTGAATCGTTTAATTAATTTCCAAAAAATAAACCTTATTTAACTCGTTAATTGTATAAGATATGTTTTGGTTATGTAGTGGGCTCGAACATTGGATCAGCATGAAACGGGTACAGAGGATTGGCAGGACGGTGGTCCTTGTAGCGCTCCCGATGATCATCATCTTCACCTTGATCAACATGTATCTATTCACGTTCTTCCAACATGGCCATTCGGAGACGATGGTCATTCTCAACGAAAAAGTGTACAACAAAAATAGTGACTCTAGTTCAAAGAAAATACCTTCACTTCGTGATAAATACAGCGGGAGAGATGAATCCGCGAATATTAATCAAGTAGATGACGCGGAACAAGAACTAAGAAAAAAATCTGGAAACGGAGACACGCAATCACGTGACAATAAAGATGCTGAGTCATTGAAATATGACGTAGTCAAAATGGAGGATGAATCTATAGATAGAATGATTGAGAAATTTAAAATGGCCAATGACAAGTATTTTATCCCAAACTATTTTTGGAACAGCAGCCTTTATGATTTAACAAGACGCTTCGGTGCTACTGCAAGACGAAATGCTAAAACTTTATCTGGTTATAACCGTTTAAAAAAGTAAGTTAAATTTTTTGTAAGAACCCATTTTATATTCCGTTGACATCGTATCTTTAACCTTTTTCCAACTTTGTTTGATACGTAAGCAGAGTAAATAGAAATCAGTAACATTACGATTGTGATACTCAAACTTTTGATAGGTCTATTTACCAAACGTTCTGGTTACCAAGAACTATTCCTTTTTAAACCGCTAGAAACCTTAAATGGTTGCCAAGGTTTCACAGAAATATTCCTTAAACCGCTAGTCAAATGTCCGCATATGAAATGCCCTGACTGTCTAACAGACATATATATGAAGTACAAAGTGTAGGACATGTATATGAGAAGAACGCTAATACAGAGAGTCTATACCGGAAATAGGCTTAGAATTTGACTTCTTTGAAAATTGTCAACCCAACATTCCTGTTTTATATACTGTATCTTTGGTTCTCTCAATTTCATTTACATTGTATATATCCTAAACGTTTGTTTCTTGCTTTCAAATTTGTCTTGTAAAACTAGTGTAATGATATTCAGACCCCATAGCATCTTGTTCCTATTTACAATTATACATTACTTAGTTTCGCCCTCTGTTTTATCATCATCACAGATGTTCTTGCACTTGTGACCATAAAGTGCCATTCATCGGTTGACATAAAACAGCCATTTTGAAGTTTCAATGATCGACGTCATATGAACACAATCTGAAGATGTAACCTACATTTCAAATATAATATATAACATTTAAAATATGTTTAAACCGGTGCGGGGAGGGGGTAACTTGCATGATTCAAACTTCTCCATGAACAATCTCAGTCGAACCAAATTTATTTTTTCAATTTTGTCATAATGGGCGACAGTTTCTTTCCTTACCACCATCTCATGTAATAAAGATTATCTTATTGAATTATAAGGGTATCTAATTAAAAGGGACACCACATATTTTTTTTACATTACGGGAGTGGAAATATTTTCCTAAATTTGTGTACCACTTGATATAGGTCTGAACCAATAACTTGTGTGGAAATTTACAGATTATTCCGTCACTCCCGGTTTTCCAGATTAATAATTTTTAATGCGCAAAATGAGCCCAGAAATGGAAAGCGTTGCAACGCTTTTAACTCAAATAGGGCTCAGTATTGCAATACCTATTTTACTTTAAATCCTGCGTATATTTCCATGATTTCTTTACTTAGTATTATCTTTTGCAGATTTTTCTATTTTATGTGTTTCACTTGACCTCTTTAAAAAATCAAATTATGTATTTTTAGGCGTTTTGACGTCAGTGAAACTCCTGCTGTGTAAGATACAAAATAATATAATTTGCGATGAATTAAATCTTTTTTTCACAGCTTTTAGTGGGGAAATTACCAGCGTGGAAAAATTTTTCCCCAGAAACATCCGCCAAATTTTTCCCCTGTCAGACCCCCGGGTGATTTAAAACCCTTTTATAAAATGTTTCTAAAATATTTGGGAACCCTGCCCAAATTTTTTTTTTAAGCCGGTAAAATTATATTTCACTGATATCTAGTTAAAAGGAAATTTTGGGGTTGGGGTTGGGGTTTTTTAAACACGTCGAGTTTTAAACCCCTTTTACTTTGAAATTTTAAAAAAGGGGGGAACAATTTCAGATAAAGCATTTTTCATTGGAAAGGGTGTCTAGGCAGGGTTTTCCTTAATAGCTGCCTTCAATTTTCCCCAAAGGAACTAATAATTTCTGTACCCTGCCGAGCAAAAAGGGAAAGTACAAAAGACCCTTTGAAACCCATTTCCTTTGGGTTATTAAAATTATAAAAAAAAATGATCTGCACCGTCCGGAAATCGGGCCCGGGCCGCCCGATGGACCAACACTCTCAATTTTCATTCTAATAGCAATTTGAATATTCTCCTTTTTATTTTGCTTTCTTTATAAGTAATCAATGTTTCAGTTTTACATTTAATGCACATGTGTATATAAGGCAATACAGCGTCATAGAAAAGGTCTGATTTTAATAGTCAAATCAAAGTATGAAGTGAAAAAATAAGCGGTTTGTCGAAAAAGGAACACGCTCAGTCACATATGCAAACGCCTATAGCGATGACTTGATGGCATCTTTATTCTAAAATTCTTGAAATCAGAAGCTGTTTAAGGATAACGTGATATTTATTCATGAGCCGATAGATGAGCAAAAAAGCCAATCTCCTACGCAGTGATCCCCCCGTATCAGTACAATCTGCCAAGGTAGGTAATCACTGTGAGGTGTTTGCAAAAAAAGCATGTACATGACTGTATCTATACATTTATTGCTGTTTTTTCCAGAGGAAAATACGGGAGGAACTCAACTTAAAATTACAGTACGGTTTAGCAATGAAGGCAGAGCGGTTGTAAAGTTTATGAGGTTAGTTTATTTGTAAACTTTTATAAAGATACATTACTAATAAATACAATATGTGCGACATCGGCAACCAAAAATGTTGATGTGTCTTAACATTCAGTTAAAAACAGTACCCCTTGTATAGAAACATCAGGCTTGCATTAAGCATTCAATGGTATGAAGATATGGTCTTATTACATTATTAAAACTGTTCTTTAAGACGTAAGCACGGCTACCTTTCTTTAAAGCTGTATTCAATGTATGAACTGAATTCATGTATTGTAGTTAAATACTCACATATCTGGTTTAAGTGGCCTTCAGTTTTTTTGTTATTTTATGTTATAAAAACAATCGTATGTTGTTCCAAACTAAGAATTTCAGTAATTTTATCTTGAAAAAGTGCGTCATATCACTGTAAAGCCTTCTTTAAAATAACGTCCCGAGAGTTACCTATAACACGTCAGTGACGTTCGTGTCTAAAATTAGAAGGTCTCCGTCCGCTTTTCTAGCGGACCGGTAGATAAGATGTTTGGAGGGGTTTTCTTTTTTGTTCATATATTTTATCACTGACAAACATTTTTCACCTTAAATTTTATTTATTTGACAATTATATGAAACGATTTATCTAAAAATAACATATTTAACCTTTCAAAAATCTGAAGGCCGCTTTAAAGACAATTTCAATAATAACATAACTGTATTGCTAACTCAAAATTACCGCACTAATCAATATAGATTGTGTGTGTGTATTTGAGTTTATTTATACTCGCCACCGGTTGCCCATATGGGCAAGTCCTCCAGAAGAGTATTAGTCATTTTATATTTTGGAGGATAGTGCAAGATACAGATACAGAAAGATGCCCCAATTCCAGAAGCTTCTCCTGGTTCTTTAACGTGCCAAGTAATTAAGCACTCATACATGGGACTTCGACTTAAGGTCTCATCCCAAACACTGATTAGCAAAAAAATTTGTAGTTAGCCACCCACAGTGTCGAGATTACAAGTCTCGTGCTCTAACCGATTGAGCTATGCGGGCTGGCTTATATATATAGATTGATTTTTGGTGTTCAAGTATTTATGTACACCGGGAACAATTATCACATTTATTCAGTATTTAAATATTGTTGAATTATTAACAATGACGTTAATTATGAGAGGTGTTTACAGGTATCCGAGAGAAGTTGAGGCGGACGAGAATCGTTATATATTTGATGACATAGAAAGACATATAGCAGAGATTGCCGCATTTCATCTGGACAAGTAAATCATTTGATATAATATATAATTGTAACACTGCATGTTTGTAACATCGCTTTTCATTGGACAATCATGACGTTTATATAGTTCTACATAATTATACGACTGCTGTCAATTTATAAAGTCACCTAAGTGGTTTGAAAAAACATGTTGGTATTGTTGTAAGTGAGTTAGAATGAACATTTATATGATACATAATACTGTTTTGTTATAGAACATTTTATTTCCGGTTATATAAATTTTATATCGGATCATGTATCTCACACTTGCCAACAACTTCCATATATTATAGTGTTTTCTCGTGCTTTGATGTTATGTCTGATACTAAGTACTTTCAACGTTATTTTTCATAGTGTTCCATACCTTACATTTTAGACCAACTTAATTACTTTTAATTCGAGAGTCCTATTTCTATTGTGATATGAGTCCATTCAAGGTAAAGACTTACTTCACTGTGCTAATGAATTCTTAACAGTACTGTATCAGACAAAAAGATTAATTTGATTAATTGTATTTTGTCAAAACATTGATTTATTCCAGCAATAAGTATATGCTATTAAAAAGTAATAAATTCATTTGAACTATGTTTCAGAATTTTGGGGTTTTATCGAGTACCCCCAACCATCGGTAGATGGTTCAATATCACGGCCGACTTAGAGCCAATTCTACCGAAATCAATCGCGGATACCCTGTTCAAATCGCCAGGTAATATCTGCAACTTTTTAATGTGTTTAATAATGTCAAAGTCAACTATCAATATTATGTAAAATTTTAGAATTTAAATTGCAATGTTTACACTCGTTAAAACTTATACGTGATATAATAACACGTGTTCATGCGGCATGCTTGGCTTATCTAGTCAACAACTTTTCTTTAATTTACAGCCGGAAATTTGTGCTTCTTTGGTGAATGTGATTATTACTGTGACAGTGCGCATGCGTTTTGTGGACATCCGGATATGATTGAAGGTTCTGTACAGAGTTACCTCCCCTCCAGAAACATTGCAAAAAGAAGATCTTGGTATCAACCATGGAGACGGTCATACAGGTTTTATATAATTTATTTTCTTTTGTATTGGCAAATCTCTTTCACGGTTCTTTGTCCAAAATATATACGAGGGATAATCCAGAATTACTCAGATTTTGTTTATAATTCTGATAAATTTCACGTTTTCTTTAATAACTTCGTACCTGCGCAAAGTTTGATTTTTCGTTACTTTAATACAAAATATTATTGATTCAATGGCACCAAGTTCCATATATTTATATTTTCGTGCCCTGTTATAGTAACAAAAAGTTACTCATCCCCAGTTTTTGCATTTATTGTCTTTTGCTGGTAAGGGCAGTAATAGTACTTAATTATTTTGTATAGAAGTCAAGATACAACTTTGTTTACATTTTGCTACTTTAATGACAAATAATTTCATATTTAGCGCTACTTTTTTCATGTGATAAGCATCTTGCATGCTCAAAACCATTATTTGAACAGTATAAAACTCATGTTTGACATTTCTAAAGAATTAAAAAGTTATAGATTTTTGAGGCATTTTTGAGGCATTTTTGAGGCCTTTAATTTATTTTTGCTTTTGATTAGCAATTAGAAAATGACATTTTTTTCCCTTTGTAGTAAATTTCATAAAGCATATTGGGAGGAGAATGACGATCTTTGTGACAGTATCCGACACGAATCACCGTTCAATAATGGCAAACTTTTACTAGATATGGTCGACGCTCATACCTTTGACTTTCTAACAGGTATTATAAAAATATACAATCATTTGAGCCGCGTCACGACAAAACCAACGTAATGCGTTTGCGACCAGAAACTGAAAGCGAACAGCATGGATCCTGATCAGACTGCGCGGATGCGCAGCCTGGTCTGGATCCATGCTGGTCGCAAACGCATTACGTTGTTTTTGCCGTGACGCGGCTCAAATGTTTTCAAGAGGATTTGTTTAATGATCTGAATGCTGAATGTAATTTGTCCTTCATCACACTTCCATACTAGCTTATATGATGTGATTGGCTGTTTTACTTGTATAGTAAAGTTGTTTATTTTGAACTAAAATAACTTAATTATAAGGTTGAATGAATTTGACCTTTTTAAAAACTCTTTTTCATTGGTGGATTTTAATTTATGCATTACGTAGGCAGTAAACAACTTTCTATTGGTCGCTAATTTTTTTGGCGGTAAACTTTCTTGTCTCTTGCGCTTCTGCATTTTTGGTTCATTCTGTATTCGTTTGACAAGTAGATCACATGTTGAAATTCTATTTTATTATTATTCTATTTTCATCTGAATGATACCAGAATCAGTCTGACTACTTTTTCTATTCAAGTCTGTATCCCCAGAAAATTCATCATCCTCGTGAAAACTGACATTTTTAGCGGAAGTTGGCAACAAGGTCGCTTGTGTAGTTTCCTCGGAAAACAATTTAATATCTTCCATGTGCTCCTCTGTCCAGAAGGATTCCTGGTCCTCATCTCCGAATCCGTCATTTAACAATTTATAGTCCACTCTTTTACTTCTAGAAGGCAATATTTTTTTCTTCTCCTGTTCCTTCTCCTTGGACGCCATGTTAGTCCCAAAATACAAACAGCTTACGCGGCACGAAGTTCCGAAATAAAGTTTATTCGTATTCAACGAAATATTATTTACTGAATACGAAAACTCCTCTTGGTTTGCACTATAAAAACCTGATGAACAATACACCAGTCCATAAATCAAATAAATTACCAACATATGTGGAACAATTCTGTAAAATAACTTTCAATAAACTTGTAGTAAAATAGAATCTCAACATGTGATCTACTTGTCAAACGAATACAGAATGAACCAAAAATGCAGAAGCGCAAGAGACAAGAAAGTTTACCGCCAAAAATATAAGCGACCAATAGAAAGTTGTTTACTACCTACGTAATGCATAAATTAAAATCCACCAATGAAAAAGAGTTTTTAAAAAGGTCAAATTCATTCAACCTTATAATTAAGTTATTTTAGTTCAAAATAAACAAGTTTATAAATCAAGCAAATGAAATATGCAAACATATTTAATACATGATGTGTAATATGATTAAATTTAGTTTCATTGAACTATTCAAAAACTAGATTCTACCTTATATTACAATGCCACCATAAATGATATATTAGAACTGTAGAGTTCCAAGCTTGTAATGTTAAGCTACCATATCAATAGCTGTATGAATTAATTAATATTGTATATAGCCAATGCTCAGATTAACTGGCCCTTCATAGTTATATCATCGATTAATCGAGATGTGACTTGTTAATATTAATATATAAACCATGTTGAACTTGAAGTAAGTATATAAACAGGAAATTAATGTATTGGGTCCTGATGTATCAATGACTTCTGTTTGTTTGATGCCACATTTGCATTTTAACGTTCATGTCGCGACGTACAAGCTTTAATAACCCATAACCTGTTCAAACTGAAAGTGTCAAGCCTTCCTCACCTAGAGCCAGGTCAGCCGGCACATCCATACAGTGTGACCAGACCACAAGGTTACAAAACCTTTTTGAGATCAAGCTCAAATCTCGGGATTTTCATAGGTCAATTCACATTTTATGCCTGTTTCTGACCAATCAAATACCTGAGATCTGAGTTTGAGATTAGAATATTTCTTTGTAACCTTGGCCCCAACTTCAAATGTTCATCTTGCTATCCAAAAATTGATAATGGGCATGAAAGAACTGAAACGTTGACGAGTCCATTACACACATTATGCAGGTTAAGGGTTTAAATCTTAGTGTGGCCAAGTGGTTAAAGCATCGGACTAGTATAGTCTAAGGGTCGCTGGTTGTGTGGTTTCAGACTCAGTCAGGGCCAAGCAGTTGTTTCCTTGAGCAAGAAACTTTACTTTCATTGATAAGTACTGGTTGGTTCCAGAGAACAAATTCGAGTGTTTCAATAAGCTTATAGCTTCTAACACAATCGACCTAAAACAAATTTGTATAAACTATACTAAGTAAGCTGCTTGTGCGAGAGATTTTTCACGTTACATATTTCAGCGCCATTAATGGAAATATAACGCACGGAGGTTGAAGATCAAATGTTTCAAAACACAGAGATACTCCCTATTATACACGGACAGATATATATATATATATTATAACATTATGATAATGTCAGTCATGTACTCATGCATTAATTCTCTTTTGTTTTCTAGGAAATAAAGATCGCCATAGTTTTGCAACTTTTAAAGAATATGGAAATTATACGTTCCCTATAATGTATGATAACGGCCGAGGGTAAGTAAAACTTTTACAATAAAGCTGCGCTGAGTTCTACAGAAGTCTGAAATAATCTAAACATTAATATTAAGTTTTGATGGAGCAATATTAATCTTTCAAATTGTTGTATTCAGAAACCAAGCATGGCTTGCATGTCCCGCGTTGAATTTATATTCCATGTTTTTTCAGTGTTATCACCATATATCAGTACCCTTGTGGTTTTAATGTTTGAGGCATAAGCATTGCCCCGCTTGATTGTATAAGACGATCGAATGTGTTTGAATTACTGGAGTATATACTTCTTTTAAGCTCCAAGAGGTGAGGTGGTTTTGACCCCTGGTGTTGCTTTCAAGTTTGTAACACCCGAAGATGGCCAAAATCATCTTTCAGTCCCAAACCGCCGGGACTGAAAGCCATAACCACCGGGCACTGAAAGCCCAAACCACCGGACACTTAAAGCCCTCGTAGAAATTCTGTTGACAACCATTTTGAAATCTTAATGTCATGTGATTTTTTTTATTTGCAGATTCGGCCGACAAACCTATGACGCCATGTCTATCTTAGCACCTTTAAAACAATGTTGTGTGATTCGTAAATCGACATTGTTAAAATACCTGAAACTTTATATAGGCCCGGAGAGACTCAGTGCTTTGATGGAGAAAACTTTAGAATCCGACCCCATAGCACCAGTGTTGATTAAACCCCATCTTAATGCACTTGATAGACGGTTAATAAAAATTCTGCAAATAGTGGCGGACTGTGTAGACAGATTTCCGGTTAAATCTGTAGTCATTTTCGACAGATTTTGAGATAGTCAATTTAAATTTTCTTTTTTGGTGGTCGGTGAATCTTTTATAGTTTTTTTTCTTAGAATGTTGATAAGTGGTCAATGAATTCTGAACTGTAGAGGTGAACATTTTATGGAGAAAACGATGGCAAACTTTATTAAAAATAAAACACAAAGGCTGTGATTTGACAGTGATTAAGGTGGCACTTCTTTTCACAAAAGTAAAGCAAATCGTTCCGAAATGTGTTAAAATGACAAACTTAGAATCACGATTTTTGATTACTATAGACAGTAAATCGTTTGATAATTGAACACAACCAATACCGGCGCAGACGACAAGACGCCGGAACTTGAGGGAAAGGGGGGAGAATAGTCTGCAAGGGACTAAAAAGTTTCCCATAAATTAAAAGATACCACAAGTATAAGACCGTGTGATTAGACTGCTCATCGTTACAGAAAAAGCATTCCATTGATTGCTATGATCACGAATTTATCTACGAGAAATGACGAGAAATGACGAGACATAAGTTATTTCGGATGATACAGTAGTTGAAACACAAGAAGAAAGAAAGAGAAGGTAAATCGTGTTGGTCATACTATATGAATAGATGATGATGTTTGACACAGAGTTACAGAGCAATAAGTGCAGAAGAATTGGATAGAAAACATGTTTGGATATATATGTGCTGTGTGTTAGTTATCCTAGTAAGTTACAGGTTGGAAATGAGACATTTTAGGTGTCAGGTTCACTCAGTTACCATATATCAAGTCTTCCATATATATATATATATATATATATATATATATATATATATATATATATATATATATATATATATATATATATATATATATATATATATATATATATATATATATATATATATATATATATATATGACAGTAAACATCATTCTCCATGGCAATATTAGTTATAAAAACCTGTGACAGGTTATATAACCCAGTACCTGATATAACCCAATCCTCTTTATTAGAAATTACTGTATACAACGGTCATATAACCTGTATAAAGTAATATTTAGAATTTATAATTTGCAGTATTACTTTCTTTGTTTAAATAAGATTGGCAGCAGCCGAGTAGATAGGTATTATAGTATTATAATACTGAAAGTTTGTTTCGTCGTTTTTCATTGGATAATCGTAACGTTCATATAATCCATATATACGGTTGCAATCGATGTATGAAATAATTTTATCTTTTTTTCTCATATAGGAATTTTACAGTATAATGAATTCATTATAAAGATTCTGTACAGGTTATATGACCATATAAACGGTTATTTACAATACAACCCTCGCCTTATGAATCGGGTGATATATGAAAACGTTTATGTGCCACGACTGGCCAATGAAAATAGGCGTTACAAACGTGCAGTATTATAAGATGTGATAAGAACGTTTCTGCAATGACATTTGAGGACATATATCTAAATATCGAACGAATGAAAATGAATATCGTAGTCAGATCAAATGTTGGACGGATAATTGTGTCTCCGAACATTTGTAGTTTGTTTGTTTGATTGTTTGTTTGTTTATGGGATTATTTTTGTGTTATTGAGTAACTGAATTTTATGATTGTGTAAACTGCCGCTTTCTTAGAACTGGTATGTAGGAAAGTCCTGACGTTCAGATGATCCGTCGTTACCTTTGTATTTTTATGTATTATACAAAAGTATTTCAAAAATAAGTGTTGAGAGGGGGTTTGCTAACTGTATATCCAATATCTTCCAAAAATAGACTTGTACCAAACTTTGTGATCGAATAACTTCTTTGTTTTCTATGGTAATATGTACTGTTATTTAAATGTTGTACACGTGTTGATTCACGTGTAAAGATAGATTATTTATGTCTTAACTGGAAATAATTTAGTTAAAAAGATGAAATCTTTTATCTATGTTTTCATGTTTTAAATTCTACGCACGGAAGTATTGAGATTTTTGTTTTTCTTTCATTATTCTTGTTTTTTCCAAATATTATTTTTATACATGCATATATATACGAGAAATCAATCTGTTTTACATTTTTAAAGTTTATCTATTTATAAAAGCAATCATTGTGAAAATCCAAGTTCGTGCAATGACATTCTATAAATAAATCTCTTATAATGCTCATGTATTATTGTATTTTATATTATTATAGAGCTTGATTGATTTTGTTATAATAATGTTCATAGTAAATTAACCACAACACTATGTGGATGGGCAAAAATCTCAGACTATATAGCAGTAAAAGAAGACATGTCAATGCGCCCAAATTTCAATCAATACGTCTAAAACACAATCAAAACGTCTTAAGTACAACCAAACGTCTGAAGTACAACCAAAACGTCTTAAGTACAACCAAAACGTCTTAAGTACAATCAATATGTCTTAGGTACAATCAATATGTCTTAAGTACAACCAATACGTCTTAAGTACAATCAATACGTTTTAAGTACAACCAATACGTTTTAAGTACAACCAATACGTCTTAAGTACAAACAATACGTCTTAAGTACAATCAATATGTCTTAAGTACAACCAATATGTCTTAAGTACAATTAATACGTCTTGTGTACAATCAATACGTCTTAAGTACAATCAATACGTCATGTGTACAATCAATACGTTTAAGTACAACCAATACGTTTTGAGTACAATCAATACGTCTTAAGTACAATCAATACGTCTTAAGTACAATCAATACGTCTTAAGTACAATCAATACGTCATGTGTACAATCAATACGTCTTAAGTACAATCAATACGTCTTAAGTACAATCAATACGTCTTGTGTACAATTAATACGTCTTAAGTACAATCAATACGTCATGTGTACAGTCAATACGTCTTAAGTACAATCAATACGTCTTGTGTACAATCAATACGTCTTAAGTACAATCAATACGTCTTAAGTACAATCAATACGTCTTAAGTAAAATCAATACGTCTTGTGTACAATCAATACGTCTTAAGTACAATCAATACGTCATGTGTACAATCAATACGTCTTAAGTACAATCAATACGTTTTAAGTACAACAATACGTTTTAAGTACAATCAATACGTCATAAGTACAATCAATACGTCTTAAGTACAATCAATACGTCATATGTACAATCAATACGTCTTAAGTACAATCAATACGTCTTAAGTACAATCAATACGTCATAAGTACAATCAATACGTCTTAAGTACAATCAATACGTCTTAAGTAAAATCAATACGTCTTGTGTACAATCAATACGTCTTGTGTACAATCAATACGTCTTAAGTACAATCAATACGTCTTAAGTACAATAAATACGTCATATGTACAATCAATACGTCTTAAGTACAATCAATACGTCTTAAGTACAATCAATACGTCATAAGTACAATCAATACGTCTTAAGTACAATCAATACGTCTTAAGTAAAATCAATACGTCTTGTGTACAATCAATACGTCTTTCGTACAATCAATACGTCTTAAGTACAATCAATACGTTTTAAGTACAATCAATACGTCTTAAGTACAATCAATACGTCTTAAGTACAATCAATATGTCTTATGTACAATCAATACGTCTTAAGTACAATCAATACGTCTTAAGTAATATCAATACGTCTTAAGTACAATCAATACGCCTTATGTACAATCAATACGTCTTAAGTACAATCAATACGTCTTAAGTACAATCAATACGTCATGTGTACAATCAATACGTCTTAAGTACAATCAATACGTCTTAAGTACAATCAATACGTCATGTGTACAATCAATACGTCTTAAGTACAACCAATCCGTCTAAAGTACAACCAGTACGCCTTATGTACAATCAATACGTCTTTAGTACAACCAATACGTCTTATGTACAATCAATACGTCTTAAAATCAATCAATACGTCTTAAGTACAACCAATACGTGTTATGTACAATCAATACGTCTTAATTTGTTGTATTTATATTTTACTCCTTAAACTGGAAAAATACACATCAAAGAAAATCAATGTAAGTTCTTTATTTTTAAAGTTTATTACAAATAATTTTTGAAATTCCTGAATACATGTATAATAGGTAAAAAACAAAAACACTAAAATAGTTAATTTGATATATGATAATTATAATATTTTAAAATTATAGTAAAGAAAGAACATAGTAAGTAAAAGAGCAATGTACATTGTATATGTATATGTATATGATTCATAAAGTGTGTATAACATAACCTTACATTATGTAAGTTAGATTTTTTTAAACCTTTACCACCCCGCTAAATATCTCAAAATGGATTAGTCCATCTTTCTCATATATCTTTAAAAATGTGTTTTACTGGCTTTTTTGTGTGAAAATAACGTATATAGGAGTATATGTATTTAATTAGACATAAAAATAGACATACAAAGACATAGACATGAAAGAATAGATTAAAAAATACATGTATACATGAAAATATACATTATGAATTGTATATTGGACACTGTCTTTTCAATATCGAGTGTATGATAATTGAGCCTGTTCTGTATTCGAATCCCTTTGTTGTACATGACCACAAACATTACATAATTCTAATATTACACATTTATATTAAAAGAAATGAATAAATTTACACGTGGTATTTTGGTAAATTAAATTAATAATGTCGATACGACATAATTTTCCGCATAATCATGACATTGAAAAGGGTATTATGTGATAATACCAGGGAATATATTGGCAATAACTTTGTATAAAAATATCCTTGCACTTTTACAACCAAAGATAACATTCTAACTTAATGCCAGCTACAAACTTTCATAACCATTTTTAATGTTTTATCAGGCTTTTCTTTTGTAATAAAACTGCTGACATAAAATATTAACTTGATTGTGAGTAGAATTCCACCAGGATGATTGAACTTTCCTCATTTCCTTTCATCTAACAGCGTTTAAAATTGCTCTGTAACCCAGCATCGCGAGCGCACTTAATCCGCCGGAAACCGGAAGTGTAACGCACCACGCTAAAATGATGTTCCTAAAGAGTTTCCAATCAACAGACTCACGTGACCTTACTCTTCCCACCATGACGACTGAACCGACTTTACAATGCGTCGTGCTGATCGGGATCCCGATATTTGACGCTACGATGACGGTCAATGCACTTCCAACTTCAATACAAAAACCACTGAAGAGAAAAGAAAAGATGTTGCAGCAGCATTAATATGTGTGTGAATGTCGACCAAAATAAGAAAAAATCTTGTTTGTAACTGTTGCATACCATGGCATTTATTAAATCTATGTTTGGTATATTAAAGTGACTTGGTCTATAATGGAAGGTCTGATATATATATCAAATAAGAACGTCCGTAGTTTTTAATATCAGACATAACAACGAGTCACTATAGATTATATTAGGATGATGTGGGCAATTGTGAAATACATGATCCATTATAACATATCTTTGTAGAGCAAATAATCAAGCGTTCTATAACAAAATATCATCATCATATAAATGTTCATTCTTAATCACTTGGAGATGTACCAAAAATTTTTTTCCAAGAAATATGTTACAAGAATATGCAAATGATACATTGCTATTGTTTCCTCTATCAATATTTGAAAGACATATAATGGAAAATGTGCCCACTATTGATCAATCCACTTGGTGATCAAACCATATGAAAGAAATACCATTATATAAATACCACGATGTGCTAGAGCTATAACATTGATATTTGTTCAAAACAAGGTCTACTAAAATAATAGTAAAGAGAAAAACACGTGCTACTTTGACGTGCTAATTTTATGCAGGTTTTAAGTATGTCATACGTTTATTCTAATGTACATTCAAATAACATAATATACATGTTTTTTTGTATGTGTACCCGTGCAACAGCTGCACGTGGAGGTTCTCTAGATATAAAAACACATTAGAATAGTTTTGTCTATACTTAAAGGATTTAATTCACTACAGTGTTGGAGCAGTACCTCTAGACGCTTGCAGTAATCATGATCACACAGAAGAAAACATGGCTTTTTTCGCCGATTCTGACATTTTTCATTCATTTTCGTACAAAAATCGACGTGAGACATGTTAGAGTGCATTTTTGCGGGATTTTACCACGCCTTGTCCGGTTAAATACCGGAATAAATACGGAATTTAACGTGGTGCTTCAACACTTTTTTTTGTCTCACTCATACGTGTTTACATGACTGTCAACTTCTTCATCAATGAGATAATTTACCTTGATGGTGTAATTCTGCTAAGATCTTCCCCCATCGTTTTCATAACACGTCGTCCCAAAACCCACAACCCGACAGAAATTCCGATACCACCGTACACAAGGACCCATATCGGTACTGGTACCTTTTGTGCGGAACTTCCGGTTGTTGCCGTAACCCACAGTGCTACCAGAGGTCCGATAGCATTACCAGCCTAGCGGCTCGGGTTATATTTACAAATAGCCGTTTATATAGGGCCATATAACCTGTCAACGATCTTTATAACTAATATTATAACACTGCGCATTTGTAAAAAAAGTTGTTTGAAAAAAATGTGGATATTGTTGTAAGTGAGTTAGAATGAACATTTATATATGATACATATACTGTATTGCTCTAGAACATTTTATTTCAGGCTATATATATTTTATATCGGATCATGTATCTCACACTTGCCAACAACTTCAATTTTTTTTTTCGTGCTTTGATGTTATGTCTGATACTAAGTACTTTCAAAATAATTGTTCATAGTATTCCATACCTTCCATTACAGACCATTTCACTTTTAATTCGAGAGTCTTATTTCTAATGTGATATGAGTCCATTCATGGTAAAGGAGTATAGATTCGGACTTTATCTACCTTGAATACTAGTAAATTATTCAATACAAATTTAAAAGCTCTTCTGACGTCATAATTTACGTCAAATTATAAAATGACGTCAGGGTACTGTAAATAAGTTCTCGTTCAATTAAGTTTATTGTAAATCAGTTGATTTTGATAATTGCTATCCAAGACTTACTTCAATATGCATACATATCTTCTACAAATGGACTCTTAACAGTACTGTATCAGACAAAAAGATTACTTTCTATATAAAATTTAATTCCTAAAAGACATTAAATTGTATTTGTCAAAACATTTATTTATTCCAGCAATTAGTATATGCTATTCAAAAGTAATAAATTCATTTGAACTATGTTTCAGAATTTTGGGGTTTTATCGAGTACCCCCAACCATCGGTAGATGGTTCAATATCACGGCCGACCTAGAGCCAATTCTACCGAAATCAATCGCGGATACCCTGTTTAAATCCCCAGGTAATATCTGCAACTTTTTAATATGTTTTATGTTGCATGTCAAAGTTAACTATTAATATTGTGTAAAAATTCAGTATTAAATTTGCAATATTTACATTCGTAAATCTTTTACGTGACATAAAATATATAACACGTTTTCATGAAATTAAATCCGTTGGCATCCTCGGCTTAACTAGGAAACCATTTTCTTTAATTTACAGCCGGAAATTTGTGCTTCTTTGGTGAATGTGATTATTACTGTGATAGTGCGCATGCGTTTTGTGGACATCCGGATATGATTGAAGGTTCTGTACAGAGTTATCTCCCCTCCAGAAATATTGCAAAAAGAAGATCTTGGTATCAACCGTGGAGACGGTCATACAGGTTTTATATATTTCTTTTCCTTTTGTATGGGCAAAGCTCTTTTACATTTCCTAGAATTTTTTGTCAAAAATATATACAAGGGATGATCCAGAATTACCCAGATTTTGTTTATAATTCTGATAAATTTCACATTTTCTTCATTAAAGTGATTCCTTTTGAAATGTGTGGTTCTTAAAGGTCCATGTGTCTCACAGAATTGCTTTTATTTTTATTTCTCAAAAGTTTATTTTATTTTCGTGCACTGTTTTAGTGACAAAATGTTACTCATCCCCAGTTTTTGCATTTATTGTCTTTTGCTGGTAAGGGCAGTTATAGTACTTTATTATGTTGTAAAGAAGATACAACTTTGTTTACATTTTGCTACTTTAATGACAAATAATTTCACACTTCATGTGATAAGCATGTAACATACGCAAAACCATTATTTGAACATTTTAAACCCCATGTTTAACATTTCTAAAGAATAAAAAAATTATAGATTTCTGAGGCATAATGTGCCTTTCATTAATTTTTGTATTTTCAAATCGAAGATCGGGAAATACAATGCTGACATTCAATCTCTGGCACAAAATTTCATTATTTTTGTTTTTGATTAGTTATTAAAGTATGGCATTTTTTCCTTTGTAGTAAATTTCATAAAGCATATTGGGAGGAGAATGACGATCTGTGTGACAGTATCCGACACGAATCACCGTTCAATAACGGCAAACTTTTACTGGATATGGTCGACGCTCATACCTTTGATTTTCTAACAGGTATTATAAAAATATACAATCATTTGAGCCGCGTCACGACAAAACCAACGTAATGCGTTTGCGACCAGCATGGATCCAGACCAGCCTGCGCATCCGCGCAGTCTGATCAGGATCCATGCTGTTCGCTTACCAACTCTATTACAAGTAGAGAAACTGATAGCGAGCAGCATGGATCCTGATCAGACTGCGCGGATGCGCAGGCTGGTCTGGATCCATGCTGGTGGCAAACCCATTATGTTGGTTTTGTCGTGACGCGGCACAAATGTTTTCATGAGAATTTGGTTAATGATCTGAATGGTGAGTGTAATTTGTTCTTCATCACACTTCCATAGTAGCTTATATGAAGCGGTTGGCTGTTTTTTTTTGTATAGTAAAGGAGATAAATCTAGGAAAACTTGTTTACAATTTTCCAACAGTTGAATAATTGAAATTTATTAAAACTGGCGCTTATTCAACAATGCAAACAAAATAATGAAAAAATGAAGAAAAAATGAGAAAAAAAGAGTAAAAAAAAGCTTAATTAAATGAGCGAAATCCTCTTATATCTAATTCATATTATTTTACAATTACTTAATTGCCATATTGTTTGCTTATAAATCAAGCAAAATGAAATATGCATATATTTAATACATGATGCGTTAATACACGATTAAATTTAGATTCATTGAACTATTCAAAAACTATATTTTACCTTATTACAATGCCACTATAAATGATATATAAGAATTGAGGAGTTCCAAGCTTGTAATGTTAAGCTACCATATCAACAGCTGTATGAATTAATTAATATTGTATATAGCCAATACTCAGAATTAACTGGCTCTTCATAGTTATATCATCGATTAATCGAGATGTGAATTGGTACCATTAATATATAAACCATGTTGAACTTGAAGTAGGTATATAAACAGGAAATTAATGTATTGGGTCCTGATGTATCAATGACTTCTGTTTGTTTGATGCCACATTTGCATTTTAACGTTCATGTCGCGATGTACAAGCTTTATTAACCCATAACCTGTTCAAACTGAAAGTGTCAAGCCTTCCTCACCTAGAGCCAGGTCAGCCGGCACATCCATACAGTGTGACCAGACCACAAGGTTACAAAACCTTTTTGAGATCAAGCTCAAATCTCGGGATTTTCATAGGTCAATTCACATTTTATGCCTGTTTCTGACCAATCAAATACCTGAGATCTGAGTTTGAGATTAGAATATTTCTTTGTAACCTTGGCCCCAACTTCAAATGTTCATCTTGATATCCAAATATGATAATGGGCATGAAAGAACTGAAACGTTTGACGAGTCCATTACACACATTATGCAGGTTAAGGGTTTAAATCTTAGTGTGGCCAAGTGGTTAAAGCATCGGACTAGTATAGTCTAAAGGTCGCTGGTTGTGTGGTTTCAGACTCAGTCAGGGCCAAGCAGTTGTTTCCTTGAGCAAGAAACTTTACTTTCATTGATAAGTACTGGTTGGTTCCAGAGAACAAATTCGAGTGTTTCAATAAGCTTATAGCTTCTAACACAATCGACCTAAAACAAATTTGTATAAACTATACTAAGTAAGCTGCTTGTGCGAGAGATTTCTCACGTTACATATTTCAGCGCCATTAATGGAAATATAACGCACGGAGGTTTGAAAATCAAATGTTTCAAAACACAGAGATACTCCCTATTATACACGGACAGATATATATATATATATTATAACATTATGATAATGTCAGTCATGTACTCATGCATTAATTCTCTTTTGTTTTAGGAAATAAAGATCGCCATAGTTTTTGCAACTTTTAAAGAATATGGAAATTATACGTTCCCTATAATGTATGATAACGGCCGAGGTAAGTAAAACTTTTACAATAAAGCTGAGCTGAGTTCTACAGAAGTCTGAAATAATCTAAACATTAATATTAAGTTTTGATGGAGCAATATTAATCTTCAAATTGTTGTATTCAGAAACCAAGCATGGCTTGCATGTCCCGCGTTGAATTTATATTCCATGTTTTTCAGTGTTATCACCATAATATTATTATTTATTTATCAGTACCCTTGTGGTTTTAATGTTTGAGGCAAAGCATTGCCCCCGCTTGATTGTATAAGACGATTGAATGTGTTTGAATTACTGGAGTATTATGCTTCTTTTAAGCTCCAAGAGGTGAGGTGGTTTTGACCCCTGGTGTTGCTTTCAAGTTTGTAACACCCGAAGATGGCCAAAATCATCTTTCAGTCCCAAACCGCCGGGACTGAAAGCCATAACACCGGGCACTGAAAGCCCAAACCACCGGACACTTAAAGCCCTCGTAAGAAATTCTGTTTCAACCATTTTGAAATCTTAATGTCATGTGATTTTTTTATTTGCAGATTCGGCCGACAAACCTATGACGCCATGTTTATCTTAGCACCTTTTAAAACAATGTTGTGTGATTCGTAAATCGACATTGTTAAAATACCTGAAACTTTATATAGGCCCGGAGAGACTCAGTGCTTTGATGGAGAAAACTTTAGAATCCGACCCCATAGCACCAGTGTTGATTAAACCCCATCTTAATGCACTTGATAGACGGTTAATAAAAATTCTGCAAATAGTGGCGGACTGTGTAGACAGATTTCCGGTTAAATCTGTAGTCCATTTTCGACAGATTTTGAGATAGTCAATTTAAATTTCTTTTTTGGTGGTCGGTGAATCTTTATAGTTTTTTTTCTTAGAATGTTGATAAGTGGTCAATGAATTCTGAACTGTAGAGGTGAACATTTTATGGAGAAGACGATGGCAAACTTTATTAAAAATAAAACACAAAGGCTGTGATTTGACAGTGATTAAAGGTGGCACTTCTTTTCACAAAAGTAAAGCAATCGTTCCGAAATGTGTTAAAAATGACAAACTTAGAATCACGATTTTTGATTACTATAGACAGTAAATCGTTTGATAATTGAACACAACCAATACCGGCGCAGACGACAAGACGCCGGAACTTGAGGGAAAGGGGGGAGAATAGTCTGCAAGGGACTAAAAAGTTTCCCATAAATTAAAAGATACCACAAGTATAAGACCGTGTGATTAGACTGCTCATCGTTACAGAAAAAGCATTCCATTGATTGCTATGATCACGAATTTATCTACGAGAAATGACGAGAAATGACGAGACATAAGTTATTTCGGATGATACAGTAGTTGAAACACAAGAAGAAAGAAAGAGAAGGTAAATCGTGTTGGTCATACTATATGAATAGATGATGATGTTTGACACAGAGTTACAGAGCAATAAGTGCAGAAGAATTGGATAGAAAACATGTTTTGGATATATATGTGCTGTGTGTTAGTTATCCTAGTAAGTTACAGGTTGGAAATGAGACATTTTAGGTGTCAGGTTCACTCAGTTACCATATATCAAGTCTTCCATATATATATATATATATATATATATATATATATATATATATATATATATATATATATATATATATATATGACAGTAACATCATTCTCCATGGCAATATTAGTTATAAAAACCTGTGACAGGTTATATAACGCAGTACCTGATATAACCCAATCCTCTATATAGCAAATAACTGTATACAACGGTCATATAACCTGTCTAAAGTAATATTTAAAATTGACAATTTGCTGTATTACTTTCTTTGTTTAAATAAGATTGACCATTATAATACTGCAAGTTTGTTACGTCGCTTTTCATTGGATAATCGTAACGTTCATATAATCTATATATACAATTGCAATCAATGTATGAAATAATTTCATCTTTTTTCTCATACACAGGAATTTACAGTATAATGAATTCTTTATAAAGTTTCTGTACAGGTTATATGACCATATATAAACGGTTATTTACAACACAACCCTCGCCTTATGAATCGGGTGATATATGAAAACGTTTATGTGCCACGACTGGCCAATGAAAATAGGCGTTACAAACGTGCAGTATTATAAGATGTGATAAGAACGTTTCTGCAATGACATTTGAGGACATATATCTAAATATCGAACGAATGAAAATGAATATCGTAGTCAGATCAAATGTTGGACGGATAATTGTGTCTCCGAACATTTGTAGTTTGTTTGTTTGATTGTTTGTTTGTTTATACGTCATGTGTACAATCAATACGTCTTAAGTACAATCAATACGTCTTAAGTACAATCAATACGTCTTGTGTACAATTAATACGTCTTAAGTACAATCAATACGTCATGTGTACAGTCAATACGTCTTAAGTACAATCAATACGTCTTGTGTACAATCAATACGTCTTAAGTACAATCAATACGTCTTAAGTACAATCAATACGTCTTAAGTAAAATCAATACGTCTTGTGTACAATCAATACGTCTTAAGTACAATCAATACGTCATGTGTACAATCAATACGTCTTAAGTACAATCAATACGTTTTAGGTACAACCAATACGTTTTAAGTACAATCAATACGTCTTAAGTACAATCAATACGTCTTAAGTACAATCAATACGTCATATGTACAATCAATACGTCTTAAGTACAATCAATACGTCTTAAGTACAATCAATACGTCATAAGTACAATCAATACGTCTTAAGTACAATCAATACGTCTTAAGTAAAATCAATACGTCTTGTGTACAATCAATACGTCTTGTGTACAATCAATACGTCTTAAGTACAATCAATACGTCTTAAGTACAATAAATACGTCATATGTACAATCAATACGTCTTAAGTACAATCAATACGTCTTAAGTACAATCAATACGTCATAAGTACAATCAATACGTCTTAAGTACAATCAATACGTCTTAAGTAAATCAATACGTCTTGTGTACAATCAATACGTCTTTCGTTACAATCAATACGTCTTAAGTACAATCAATACGTTTTAAGTACAATCAATACGTCTTAAGTACAATCAATACGTCTTAAGTACAATCAATATGTCTTATGTACAATCAATACGTCTTAAGTACAATCAATACGTCTTAAGTAATATCAATACGTCTTAAGTACAATCAATACGCCTTATGTACAATCAATACGTCTTAAGTACAATCAATACGTCATGTGTACAATCAATACGTCTTAAGTACAACCAATCCGTCTAAAGTACAACCAGTACGCCTTATGTACAATCAATACGTCTTTAGTACAACCAATACGTCTTATGTACAATCAATACGTCTTAAAATCAATCAATACGTCTTATGTACAACAAATACGTGTTATGTACAATTCATACGTCTCAATTTGTTGTATTTATATTTTACTCCTTAAACTGGAAAAATACACATCAAAGAAAATCAATGTAAGTTCTTTATTTTTAAAGTTTATTACAAATAATTTTTGAAATTCCTGAATACATGTATAATAGGTAAAAAACAAAAAACACTAACATAGTTAATTTGATATATGATAATTATGATATTTAAAATTATAGTAAAGAAATCACATAGTAAGTAAAAGAACAATGAACATTGTATATGATTCATAAAGTGTGTATTACATAACCTTACATTATGTAGCTTTGATTTTTTAAACCTTTACCACGCCGCTAAATATCACAAAGTGGATTAGTCCATCTTTCTCATATATCTTTAAAAATGTGTTTTACTGGCTTTTTTTGTGTGAAAATAACGTATATAGGAGTATATGTATTTAATTAGACATAGAAATAGACATAAACAGACATAGACATAAAAATAGATTTAAAAATATACATAAAATATACATTATAAATTGTACATGGGGCACTGTCTTTTCAATATCGAGGGTATGATAATTGAGCCTGGCCTGTATTCTAATCCTTTTGGTGTACATGACCACAAACATTGCATAATTCTAATATTACACATTTATATTAAAAGAAATGAATAAATTTACACGTGGTATTTTGGTAAATTAAATTAATACCTTAGTGCAGTAATTGGTTAACTCCTATTAAATTATATAAGAAGTTAACCCATTATTGCACTAAGGTGACTTAATGTCGATACGACATAATTATCCGCATAATCATGACATTGAAAAAGGTATCACGTGATAATACCAGGGGAAATATTGGCAATAACTTTGTATAAAAATATCTTTGCACTCTTACAACCAAAGATAACATTCGCTACAAACTTTCATAACCATATTAATTTTTTACCAAGCTATTCTTTTGTAATAAAACAGCTGTCATAAAATATCAACTTGATTGTGAGTAGAATTCCACTAGGATGATTGAACTTTCCTCATTTCCTTTCATCTAACAGCGTTTAAAATTGCTCTGTAACCAAGCATCGCGAGCGCACTTAATCCGCCGGAAACCGGAAGTGTAACGCACCACGCTAAAATGATGTTCCTAAAGAGTTTCCAATCAACAGACTCACGTGACCTTACTCTTCCCACCATGACGACTGAACCGACTTTACAATGCGTCGTGCTGATCGGGATCCCGATATTTGACGCTACGATGACGGTCAATGCACTTCCAACTTCAATACAAAAACCGCTGAAGAGAAAAGAAAAGATGTTGTGGCATTAATATGTGTGTGAATGTCGACTAAAATAAGACAAATCTTATCTTAATCTAACTGTTGCATACCATGGCATTTATTAAATCTATGTTTGGTATTAAAGTGATTTGGTCTATAATGGAATGTCTGTTATAAATTATATTAAATAAGAATTATAAATGGATGATGTTGGCAATTGTTAAGTACATGATCCAATATAACATATAAATCAAGCGTTCTAGAACAAAATATCATCATCATAAATGTTCATATTTAATCAGTTTGAACTGTAAGAACATTTTTGTCTCAAGAAATATGTTATAAGAATACACAAATGATACATTGCTATTGTTTCCTTTATCAATATTTGAAATACTTATGGAAAATGTGCCCACGGTTTATCAATCCACTTGGTAATCAAACCATATGAAAGAAATACCATTTTATAAATCAACGATGTGCTAGGGCTATAAAAGTGTTATTTGTTCAAAACAAGTGTCTACTAAAATAATAGTAAGAACTGAAGTAAGCTGCGGACAAAAACACACGCTACTTTGACGTACTAATCTTATGCAGGTTTTCAGTACTGAATACGTTTATTCTAATGTACATTCAAAAAACATAATATACATGTATTTCGTATCGTGCAACAACTCCATGTAGATGTTCTCTAGATATCAGAAGATCAACATTAGAATAGTATAGTCTATACGCAAAAGTTCTACTTCACTACAGTGTTGGAGCAGTACCTCTAGACGCTTGCATTTATCATGATCACACAGAAGAAAACATGGCTTTTTTCGCCGATTCTGACATTTTTCATTCATTTTCGTACAAAAATCGACGTGAGACATGTTAGAGTGCATTTTTGCGGGATTTTACCACGCCTTGTCCGGTTAAATACCGGAATAAATACGGAATTTAACGTGGTGCTTCAACACTTTTTTTTGTCTCACTCATACGTGTTTACATGACTGTCAACTTCTTCATCAATGAGATAATTTACCTTGATGGTGTAATTCTGCTGAGATCTTCCCCCATCGTTTTCATAACACGCCGTCCCAAAACCCACAACCCGACAGATATCCCGATACCACCGTACACAAGGACCCATATCGGCACTGGTACCTTTTGTGCGGAACTTCCGGTTGTTGCCGTAACCCACAGTGCTACCAGAGGTCCGATAGCGTTACTGTTAAAAGAACAACATAAAAAAGATCAACACAACACACAATTTAGCATCATTAATTGTATTACACCAAAATACAGCTTCCTTAATTCTGTACCAACTTTTGTCATTTCTATTTTTAGACATTAATCATAATTCTATATTAAGATTTTTGTGAACGAATTTTCTAAAGACCTTACAATATCTTTTGCTTAAATCGTGAAATTAGCTAAAAATAATATTGAACTAAAATGACAGGATTCAATTTAAGTCACATTACGAGGGGCATATTTTAATTATTGGCAAACAATTCAATTTGACCATGATATGCACGTGAAAATACATGTGTAATATACCGTAGGAAAGATTATTGATTTTTCTAACCAACACGATTTGCACGTGCAATAAAATTTTAGCAGGTCATTTAAATACATGTGGTTTTGTTTACTGATTGTAAACATGGCTTAGTTGGAGAAGAGCGAATGTTCTCACTTCAAAGAACCCAAGGTCCGGGGTACGCAGGATCAAATTATTCCATGATAATTCACCTGCTCGCCGGCCTTGGTTCAAGCTTATTTATAGGAGCAGAGAATTGAGGTTTTGCTACATCTCGCTTATAGTCCTCTCTCATTACCTATGTTATCAATCCTCTGGGTTAATTTTGTAAATGGCATACATTTACCTATAAATTTTGAAAAATGTTTTACGATAAACTGTATAAAATGCATGTTACTTCGCAACACATCTGGGAAATGTTCTTAACTTCTCAAAACTTTGTAAAAAGTCATACTTAAACTTCTTTATAAGATGCTTTAATTTTCTGGTCGGCATTACAGTCAATTTGGATAAAGGATAAAATCAGATACATGTAAACTGAACAACCACAAACATGTACGTGAACGTGAGCACGTACATATATTATCACATGTTTTGACATTCTCACAATGATAATTAACTTCGATTTCATGTTATATAAATGATCTCTTCAGATTTTATTATAACCTATTTCAAAAACAATTAAGTAGACCCCTTGTCTTGCTAATAAATATATTTCCATATTTTTATCACAATTATCACAATGATTGTCAAGTCAGACGTGATCGAAAATAGAATTCTTTAAAAAGAAAAACATCTTTTCCGTATTCTTTTTGACGGCCATCTTGGACATTAGCTATAAAAGCGTCTTTTGCATTTTTGTTAAAAGCTATTCAATATATATTCATTTTCCTTTTTACCTTCAATTAAGTCGGAATTGTCTATGAACTTCCATTACATTTCTAAGAAGGGCGGTGATCTTTTGCTCTACGCAGATTGCGCATGAGTGAGAAAATGTTACTTCCGGTCGATTTTTCATAGCAACGAACCGTGTTGTAAAAAGGTCTATAGCTGTTTTTCTTTTTGAAATGTATTTTCTTTATATACAAAAAAGTTAGACTTGAGGAACTGGTCTTCTTTGCTGTGACTTCTGCATGACTGTACTGAATAGTCCAGTAAAGAATAAATGGCGTTACTGTAAATGTACGTACATGCATATAATTTGCTGACCTTAAAGGAGTTATCCTCAACTTTACTGACATTGAAAAAGATCAAGCAACAATGGACATGATCGTCTGGTCTTATACTGGTTGAGAAGACATATCGGAACATTACCAGGAAAGACTCAAGGTTAACCCACCTTACATCATTTCCTCCGTGAGCAAAAGATCCAAACACCGCAGTAAGTATTTGTAGGAAAGAAAATAAACCAGCTGTCTCCGGTTTGTCTTGAACTTTGTCACGTGCAGCGCTTCTCTCGGACTGAAAAGTTTAATTAAATATGAATACAGTTAATAAATACAGTTAAACCTGTGAAAAAGGAGATATCAAACATGACCTTTAAAGACAGGTGGTCTTTATATGGAGGTCTCTCTGTTATATGTAATCAATGAAAGATTTTTAAGAGTGGTCTTTATTTACAACATGGTCTTAATTCAGAGGTGGTCTTTTACACAGGTTAAATCGTATTAACATTTTGTTTTGAAAACGTATCAAATGTTTATTATATATCAATATATAAGCCTGAAACACACTTTGATATAGTCACAACTTTTATCATAATACTACATTAATGAACATGTATATAAAGTATTTGAACCAAAACTTTTATAATATTTCGTTTAAATGTTAAAATTAAGAATTCCTACACGCCATAACGTAACCAACAGGAAGTAAAATTCAGTAAAAATATTGGTCCTGCATGTCTCCGGCACAGCTACTCCAAGAGGTGTCACTCATGACCTTTTTAAAATATAAAAAATAATTTTGATAATTATTTTGACTTTTTTGTCATGTGAAGATACCTTCTCGGGTTCGTCTGCCTCGTGAGCTATCTCAATGTCAACATTATTCCCGTCACTGTCGGTATTTAATGGTTCCTTTTCTTCATCTAATGCTGACTGATCCTCGTCCTTTTCTGAAGAAGATGGCAATATTGATATATAAATAGAGCACATTAGGTTGTAAGTTCCAGCCAAAGCAAGCTGATGCCCCCCCTCATTTGTCTCCTTATATACGGGTCATTTCAGTAAAATAAAATTGATAGACATTTTTTTTTAAGTTGCAAAATTTAGTGTTTCACAATTGACAATAAATGAATGCGTTTAGATTGATACAAAAAATAATAAAATGCAAGAAAGTTGTGGTGTATATTGAATACACAATACGTGTTAACTGAGATTTGCTGGTGAAAGTTCTCCGCTTACAATTAGAATAGATTTTATTGAGTACTGGGTTGCTACGTATAAGTTACCAAGATTGGGCGTAGATTCCCTAACAATAGTAAACAATATATCAAACGAGTCGAATAAAACAGTATGGAGCGAAAATCTGACTGAAATATAACTTATCTTGTATTAAAACCACCCAAAATAACAAGTACTAATTATATACGATATAGTATAGGAAGAAAAATGATATTATACATGTAAGTGCAGTAAAAATAGTTAGATATTCTTTTGAATGAAGGATACAATGTTTCTGTATCATTGCGTGAAATAGTGATAATAAATTCGTGCAAATCTTAGACAATCGATGATGCATGAACTTTAAAAAGTACATAATGTAAGAAAAAACTTTTATTGTTTTCATAGATAAATCACATGACTTTTAAGTTTACACTGAAACATTTTTGCTTTTTTCAAAGTTGCATGGCATTTAACAACATATCCTCTCTTGATAATGGAAACGAGATGGGATGCGATATGGATTAATGATATGAACGTTCTGGACTCTGGAAATTCAAACGAGGCTATATGTGCTGTGATATGGATTTTGGTTTGGATTTTTATATGGATTTTTTGGACACTGGAAATAAAAACGAAGATAAACTGATAATATTGGGTCCGATAATGAGTTATGTTGTGACATCACGTGATGCAAATGCTGAATGTTCATTGGTTATATTTATTATTTAAGAAGGAAAGCGCTTATTAGATATATTTGATTTAAAAATATTATACATGAGATTACAAGTTATGTCATTCATATACTATAAATTCTTGTACCTTAATGCATGTGAAATACTGTTCACAAAGCTTCTCACAAAAAGCGTTAGTGCATTCATTGGTATTTGTCTCCCTTTGTACTATTGAACAGTTATGCAAGAGTTCTCCCCCTTAAACCGATACACTATCATTACGTACAAGTGAAAGGCAGACAAAGTTGAATGTGTTATGAATACGACAATTGAACACCATACACCATACATTAAGCGTAAATTTCTGTTAAAAGCTTGTATAGCTTACTATGTATACTTACCACTAATTCTCAAAAGATTGTTTTTAAATTGTGTATCGCCTTTGTGGCTCTCTTGGTCATTTTTGTCTTTATCAAAAAAATGCGTCGTAAATTCCTGGTCAATGGCTAAAAGAAACATGTTAATATTTTACTTTCAAGCCATAAATAAATTTTAACCAGATGAAAACTCGCAGTACCGGTTTATATAGATTTGTATTATTATTATTTTTGTTCAGACACAAGTTTTGATTTCACTAAGCATAAATGTTTACCGTATAACTATAGTTTAATATTATTAGAGAATGTTATTTTTGTTCAACATGACTGAATGATTTACAAAATGCTTAAAGAAACTCAAGTGAGGTTCAAAAGCCTAAATAATAATATTTGAATTTCTTATATGATCAACTGGGGCACCTTAATCAGAGACATGCGGTATATAGTCAGAAGAAACTGAAAACAACATTTGTGTGCTGTTTTAGCTCGATTTGGATGAAAACCGTTACAACACTTTTCAATCTTGGATAAATTTTCACAGAAGAATCATTCTTGAAAAAGGGATAAGCAAATGCTCAAAAATTTTGCGCATAAGTTATTGGTAACATCATTCTAGGTAAAAAGTGTTGTCACTATCCTAATACAAGATTAATCTAGCTGACAGGGCCCAGCCCGTAGGCGTCGTTTGTCCTCCATTTTATTATCATGTAGTGTATTAAATTCTCCGTTTTGATTGGGTTAAGGACAGGCGTGTACATGTAGAAATGGTCAATTACATTTAATTATCAATGAGGCAATACAATTTAACAGAAAGCAAGTTTTTACAGTATTGTTAGTAATGTTTACCTGCCTGCTAATGGATGTATTATAAAGGGATATCATCTTAAAGTATTCGTTGAAAACATTACCTTCTTCAAGTTTTGTTATATGTGGCGATGTTGTGTCGGATGTCCCTTCTTCCTGGAGCAGCTTTTTACAGCGATCTGAACAGAGAATTATACATGTATTGTATTACATCACAAAGCATTTAATTATTTCATTGCAGAATTTTACGACATAACTCAAACACTGTTCCTCACATTTTTGTCTAGTATGCTTAAACGGATCGTTTCATAATGTAGCTACATGTACATGTATTCTTATTTATCTTGTTATGACGAGTATCTAGCCATTCGTATGAGAGTAACTGAAATCATTATCATTTTTCCTTATATGAAAGTAAATACTTTCGCCAGGTATTTTTTCTCTCTTCCAGATGCACATAAAACGTTGTTTATATACTCTGCTTAAGTCGGTGCCAAAGGGCGTGTACGGTAGCTCGCATTTACCACTACCGTCCATGAACAGGCTCAATAAAACCGAGTCTGTGAAATTTTCAATTTTGGCTTTCTTTAGAGATTCCGTTTTCTCTATTTAAATTAACTTTTTGTTTTTGAACAAGCTTCATTCTTGGGTCCGTACTCTCGGTGCCTGAAAGGGCGGATGGACTCTCATTAAGCCTAGATACAAAGATAGAGTTAAAACAATGTCCGCCTTACAGTTCGTAATAAAATATCTTAAGACACATTAATAAATAGTATGCACACTTAAATCTTTCTCTTTTAACACATGTCTACTTTATGGTGTTGAGATATTAGTCTCTATGTTTTTTCTTCAGCATAGAACAAGTGCTAGTATATAGAATCGTTTGTTTATTTTTGAATAACATTTTCTCAGTTAAAACTTACCTTGGATTTTCTTTCGCTGTCTTGGAACTAGGAATATCTTGACCAGTATTGCGATGATAATCGGGGGTACAAACGTTAGAATTAACGTCCCATACAACGGAATTTTGTTAAAGTGCAAAACTGAAGTGAAATATGTGATATTAAATGTAACAGATAGAGCACTCACTACAAACAGTTTTATGGCATCGCATGTATATGTCAGAGTCAATCGTTCTTTTTAGATTGATTGAAGTTTATAAATGAGGCTACACAAACGATTTAAAAAAACAAAAACAAAAGTACATTGTATAATATTTATGTATGCGGTACAGTGTCATTTTTATAATAATTTTAAAGTAAGTTTTTCATTTTGAATACCACAATAATAATACCACAGTATAAAACAGTCTTCATCACCGTATAAAACAATCTATATCACCGCATTGAACACGCTATATCAACGTGTAAAACAATCTATGTCATCGTATAAAACAATCTATATCACCAGTATAAAACAATATATATCACCATAATTATAGAACAATCTATATCACCGTATAAAACAATCTATATCACCGTATAGAACAATCTATATCACCGTATAAAACAATCTATATAACCGTATAAAAATATATATATCACCGTACAGAACAACATATATCACCGTATAGAACAATCTATATCACCGTGCAGAACAATCTATATCACCGTATAAAACAATTTATATCACCGTATTTAACAATCTATACCACCGTATAAAACAATTTGTATTACCGTATAAAACAATCTATACCACCGTATAAATTAACAAACTTACGTTCAGATCCTTTATAGAAGACAGAGAACAAGTTAACAGCCAATGTTAAAGCGTAAAACACCGGTAGCAGTCTTAGACCATATTCCAATGGTTTCTCCTAAACAAAAGACATAATTTTATATGTTACCATTTAAATAAAATTCATGTCTCACATATCAATGTCGTATCATTGACATACAACATAAAAATTCATATATTATAAAAGTCTATACAATATAATAATTTAGATCTGTTGCGGAAATACGGACATGAAATTGCAATATATGCTGCATTTGAACTATTAACTCGCTAAATATCTTAAAATGGACTCGTCCAATCTTTTTAATCTTTTAGAGCATCACCATTCATTTTTTCAGGGAAAATTAAAAAATATGTATTGACTGAATAACGAATAGTGCAGACTGTGACCACACGGCTGAGATGTGCCGATCGATTATGGTCTGCACGTGGCGCTCGTGGTGATTTTGTAGTTGCAGTTAAAAAATATGTACACTGCAATTTTGAAACGACCAAGCAATGCGGCTTACTTGGTTTATACAGACTTTATATTAGTTTGATTGTGTTGGAAGATTATAGCTTATGACCATACTCTCAAATCTGTTCCGGGAACCAACAAGAACTGAGCAATTTATGTAAAGTTTCTTGCTCAAGGAAACAACGGCTCGCCCCTGACAGGGTTTGAACCCAAGCGATAGCGATCCTTAGATTACTTGTCCGATGTGTTAATCACTCGGCCACGCCGTGTCGCCACTTTTTGATTGTTGTCAATCGTAATTTTAAGGATAATGATGAAAATCGTAACTAAACCACAGAAAGGGTAATGTAATTAAGGAAATAACATATGTAATTACGGACATAACATATGTAATTAGGGACATAACATACGCAATTATGGACATAACACATGCAGTTAAAGAAATAACATAATATGTAATGACGGACATAACATATGTAATTACGGACATAACATATGCAGTTAAGTACATAACATATGTAATTTAGTACATAACATTAACGAAAGAAAATGAGTTACCTTAGACAAGACTAGAACGTCGAGCAACTTAAAGAGCAATGCTGATACGATACCGGACAATAGTGGAGAAATGAACCATGATGCGGCTGAAATAAAAATGTAACAAATAAATAAATAATGTAAAAAGGAGAATTACAAAAGTACACGTGAAACTACATGTATAATATACCGTTGGAAAGATTATTGATTTTTCTAACCAACAATCTATTTTCGCACGATTTGCACGTGCAATAAATTTTAGCAGGTCATTTATATACATGTGCATGTGATTTGAACGTGGCTGAGTTTAATTGTGATTTGAGAGGGAAGGAATTATTGCAAAATTCGTGGGTTATTAGGTAAATGCGCGCCAGAAATAAAACGGATCTAGATTTAGTTTATGATAAAAAAACCTTCCATATCGTACAATTGTCAGATGGGTGTTAATGTTTAAGGTGATTCTGCTTTGTCAGCCATGTTTGTTTTCACTATGTGGGTCCAAAGTGAAAGTAGGCCAACATTCATATAACAACAAAGCTCACATTGTTATATGATGAGCCATTTGCAAGTACACTTCCAGTTCAATGTTTTAAAGACTATTTTAAACAAAAATAAAAATGATAACAATAAGAAAATTTACCTTGAATGTGCTACATTTCTGAAGACCAAAAACATTTTGTTGCAAAGTTTTATGCACATTTCATGAATGGCAAAATCCTTTTTAAAGTCTGTTTTAGTTCCTACAAAAGCTATTTTTTGCAGAAAATACAAAAAACTTTAAAAAATATAAACCTTAGGAAAGTAGTTTATCTGACCTTGAAAAAACATGGCCACAATGACATGTGTAAAAAAGTAGTACCATGAAAATAAACATCAATTACCTATCTCTTGTGTACATGACAAACAGACACACTTCACTGTTACACATAAAAAGGTTAGATTTTAAAGTTTGATAGTGTTTTCATTTTAATAGTAGTTCATAAGGCTATAAATGATGATTGTTTTCTTGCACTACTTTTTTACAAAAAATAATGGAGGCCATGTGCTTAGAAGGACATGAGATATGGATTTATTTGGAGTTAAGTTTTGAAAGATTTTTGTATTTGCTGCAAAAAATAGCTTTTGTAGGCACTAAAACAGACTTAAAAAAGGATTTTACCATTCATGAAATGTGCATAAAACTTTGCAACAGAATGTTTTTGGTCTTCAGAAATGAAGCACATTCAAGGTAAATATTCTTATTGTTATCATTTTTATTTTTGTTTATAATTGTCCTTAAAATATAAACCTGGAAGTGTACTTTCAAATGGTTCATCATTTTACAATAAGAGCTTTGTTGTTATATGAATTTTGGCCTACTTTCACTTTGGACAGACTTTGTGAAAACAAACATGGCTGACAAAGCGGAATCACCTTAAGGAAGGTACAACTAACGTTAAGAATGATCCCCGTCCAATTTCCACTATCTCTGAAGAAGAGATCAGCACTGTCAAATCCATAATTGATGAAGATGCAAGATATACCTTGGAGAAGATAATTGACATATCGGGCCATTGTGAGTCATATGTTTTCCATCTTGAAAGAAAAGTTAAAGTTAAGGATATTGTGCGCCCGTTGGATCCCGCTTTTGCTAACTTCTGACTAGAAGCTGGGTGGGGTTTAATCGAGACCCTAGACGCCCGAGAGAATGTGCCACAGGGGATGAAACTTGGCTTTATTTTTTTTAGCCCGACAATAAACTCAGTAACAAATGTGGGTAGGTGAAAATAGCGATCGACGTGTTGTTGCTCGACGTATCAGGAGCGCTGAAAGACTTATGTACGCTCTACTTTTTACAGTGATGAAATAGTGGCCCATGTCGCTTTGCTTGAGAGGGGCAGTGCCACTGGAACATATTACCATGACCATGTTCTCACGGCTGTAGTTGGTCACTACATTACAAATGCACCTGCTTACCGTTCAGCCTTGTTTCAAGCTTATTTAGAAGAGCAGAGAATGGAGGTTGCCTTCGCAGTCGCCGGTTCAAAACCCGTAGTGCCATCGGAAGCGCTCTCTACCAGTGTATACAGTATACCCCAAAGAACAGTTCAAAAATGCTTTTCGGAAAAGATTCAGAGGCTCGAAAAGTGTGTAGAGGTCCATTACGAATATTTTGAAGGATCTACTAAACATTTTCACAGTATGATTTATTTATAAAAAACGCGCTGCCGTTGCCACTAATTAAGATATGCCCCTAGTTTCTGTTTAACATTTAAATAAGATAAAAAGTTTTGCATTCTGTTATTTCAAAATCCATATTTTATTTTACCTATCATAGCAAGTTTTATCCAACCTATTCCCTTGACACCATTTACCACCATAGAGAACCCGAGGGTCGCTCCAACAATGCTATGAGTTCCGGACACCGGAAGTCCAAATAATGTCGCCACCATCAACCAGATGCACGAGCCTGAAAAATTGAAAAATAAAAGGGGAATCAAGAATTTAGAACAACAATTTCTGTCAATGAAAAATGGTGTTTTAACTTTAGGTATTAGACAAAACATTAATCATTAATTTTATTCATGATATATCTGTACATAAAACATAAATGAATTAATGAAAACAATTATCAAACATTGTATAATGTTAAATGTCAGTGTTGATGTAGAAAGTGAGAATTAAAGTCATGAAACGATGTACTATGTTCTGAAAGCAAATTTTACTTTCAGCCTTTTTTACTAACCTGTGAGAGCCGCCACATTTCCCGCCATGAATACGTCCTCGGTGCCATTTGTATAAATGTCAGGGGAAATAATCCCTTTTCGGATCGTATTTGACACCTTTGCCCCTGAAATAAATCGGCAATCATACTGTGTATAGGTTTACTTATTTCGAGCTTTTATTGGTTTACTTAATACATGTATTTCTCGTGAAAAATGATCAAATAGTAATCTCTTGGTGTTGTCTATTAACCGGATACCTGTTATTAGATGCCCGTCCGACCATATGTCAAATGAGAGGTCAATATAACGACCATGTCATACAAAAGTTAGATACATCAATATTGATTAAGTTATTCATGGTATGATGGTCATGTCATACAAGAGGTAGATATGATAGCCGTGTCATACAAGATGTAGATATGATGGTCATGTCACACAAGAAGTAGATATGATGGTCATGCCATACAAGAAGTAGATACGATAGCCATGTCATACAAGAAGTAGATATGATAGCCATGTCATACAAGAAGTAGATATGATAGCCATGTCATACAAGAGGTAGATATGAAAGCCATGTCATACAAGAAATAGATATGACAGCCATGTCATACAAAAAGTAGATATGATAGCCATGTCATACAAGAAGTAGATATGATGGCCATGTCATACAATAGGTAGATATGATAGCCATGTCATACAAGAAATAGATATGATGGTCGTGTCATACAATAGGTAGATATGATGGTCGTGTCATACAAGAGGTAGATATGATGGGCATGTCACACAAGAGGTAGATATGATAGCCGTGTCATACAAGAGGTAGATATGATAGCCATGTCATACAATCATGTCACACAATATGTATATATGATAGCCATGTCATACAAGAAGAGGATATAATAGCCATGTCATACAAGAAGTAGATATGATGGTCATGTCACACAAGAGGTAGATATGATAGCCATGTCATACAAGAAGAGGATATAATAGTCATGTCATACAAGAAGTAGATATGATAGCCATGTCACACAAGAGGGAGATATGGTAGCCATGTCATACACGAAGAAGATATGTGACAAAGTTAACCAATGTTTGCAGGTATTTAAAGGTTGTATAAAGTGCTTACGTATTTCGGTCTTACATGGTAGTTTTTTTTCTAGTATCAAACGGAAAATAAATGTTAAAAAACACATCCTAACATTGAGTATACATTGGCATTTTTATGTATCAAAAATTGTGAGCGCTCGACGATTTCCGCCTGTGACGTCATTTGTACTAAACTATTAATTTTTTAACCCTATTGAAGAAAACATAAATAATAACAACAAAAACAACAAAACGAGTGATGGATGATTATCTTACCCACTAGAATAGCGCCCATAATTTCAAAAATGGTACCAAGAATACAAGCTTGTCTTATGGTAAGAACTTTAGCCCCTACCGATGTCCCGAAAGCGTTTGCTACGTCGTTTGCACCGAGACCGAAGGCAAGCACAAATGCAATGATGAAGCCTAGTATGACCAACCAGAGCCACGTATCGTCGTACAATACCATCCTCGTACAGGTAGCGTCCGTGAGTTAGAATCTGTAGGGAAACGAAGGAAAATATATTCAAATTTGCTCAAAATTGAGCAATTGTAGACTCTTACTAGTATTAATGAGACATAATGAAAAATAAAATCAGCCGGTACGCCTAGGGTTCTGCTGCTCATACTTTTGGCGAGGGACAAACTTCTCTCCGAAATGACTTCAGTATTTAGTTGTACGTCGCACCAACCTAGTACAGGTCATAATAGCGACTTTCCAACTGAACTGGTGGAAGAAGAGCGCCCGTCCATGCAACATTTCAGGCACGGGAGGGCAATTTGAACCACAAATGTAACTTTTGTCGTTTTTTTCTAATGCTGAACAGACATTTTCTAAACAATCCTTCTGATGTCGAAATTAAGAGACCGTAATTTCTAAAACACAAAAATGCATGATCCAAGTTGTCCAATATATTCTAAATGCATTTTACTCTATCAAAGTATTATTTCAGTAAAAAAATGATCTTCCAACCAGAATTTGTAAAACACAAAAATGCATGATCCAAGTTGTTCAATATATTCTTAATGCATTTTACTATATCAAAAGACTATTTCAATACAAAAAAGATCTTCCGACCAGAAATTGCGCAAGTTATTAGACTTAATAGATATATTCAACACACACATATATATATATATATATATACGATTTCCTAAATAGGAAAACAAAAAAGAGCAATGTCATTATTATGTCGGTGTTTTATGATATTACAAAAATTCAAAACACATGTGTCGGCGAGGGTAACCTCGTGTATAGAATTTGTTTCGTTATAAAGAAAACCTTAAAATATTTCTATTAATATAAACGATTTAATTCAATAACGTGATTAAATCGATCACTTATTTGCTGATGTCAACATTTAATTGGAAAGGAAGTGCTAAAGTCTTGCTAAAGTCTAAAATAAAATAAGAAGTATGTGTAACACATAAAAAGAAGGTCAATCCTTCTGATTTTGAAATTAAAAGACTGATATGAGTACTGTAATATAATTTCTAAAACACAAAAAGTGTACTGAGTATATTATTTGTTATAAAGAGTTTTGACAGGTTATATGGCCCTATATAAATGGTTGTTTGGAAATATAACCAGAGCGCTAAGCCATTTAACCTCTCAGAATTAAAAATACAGCATAGAGAGTAAAAGCGAGTTTTCTTCACAAATTGACAGATTTTTGACAGATTATATGGACCTATATAAACGGCTATTTGTAAATATAACCCGAGCCGCTAGGCTGCTGCCGATTTATGAAGAATTCTTACGTTTTTCTCTTAAAAATGATGCTTGCTGAATTATAAATTCGTTATAAATATTTCTGGCAGATTATATGGCCGTATAAAAACGGTTGTTTGCGACACAACCCTCGCCTAGCGGCTCGGGTAATATTTCCAAACAACTGTTTATATAGGGCCATATAACCTGTCCAAAATCTGTCAATTTGTGAAAAAAACTCGCTTTTACTCTCTATGCTGTATTTTTAATTCGTTAGAAATATTTCTGACAGGTTAAATGGCTTAGCGCTCTGGTTATATTTCCAAACAACCGTTTATATACGGCCATATAACCTGTCAAAACTCTTTATAACAAATAATATAAACGCCACGATTATCCAATGAAAAATGACGTTACAAATGTGCATTATTATAAAAAATAATAAATATAACATGTTCACATCATTCATACATATATGTGTCTTACCTATAAATAGCTATCAATAAATAGTCCAAATATTTTACATAATAAATTATATATTCAAACATGACAGCTGAGTCGAATAAAATGAAAATTTAATTCGCACAAATTAATAATCATACATTAATTTATTGTTTTATTACGCTAAATATTACGTTGTTATTTCTTACAGTGGTTAAGGACAATTGAAACGCGAAATCAGTCTTAAAACATCGTAAGAGTTTTACTGTTAATTACTGTTTAAAGGCACATTTTGCCTCAGAAATCCATATTTTTTTTTAATTCTAACATGTATTTAATACGGATAAAGAGCATGTTAGATGCTTTACAACTGATTAAAAGTAGCGCTGAACATGTAGTTATCTGACATAAAGGTTGCAAAATGTAAACAAAATAGTATTTTGACTTCCATACAAAATGCAAATTCAGTATAATTATACAAATTGCCAACAGATCTAAAGATGCAAAAGATAGTAAATGTATGTAGCAAATGAGTATATTTTTAGAGACAATATACCAAAATTAAACAGTTTTTGAGATAGGCATAATGGACCTTTAAAGACACACTCATTCTATTGCTAGAAGTACATGTAAACGTTAACAGTTATCCTAAATAAGATTTGTTTTTCAATTGTGTATTATTTGTGTAACCAAGTGCTATTTTTAAGGTTTTTACTATTTTCCAAGAAAGGTAACTCTGTCGACCTTGTTTGATTTTAATCTTTACTTTGGGTGATTATGTCCCCTTGACCACATTTGCTATTTGCTCAACCATAACGTTTCCCTCCTAAAGTTAGGGTCACTTGAGGTCATTCTTTGTGTAATCAGAAGTTGATGGTCATAGTGACATGAATATATGTTTTTCTGACTTAGAAATTATTATTAATAAGGATTTGGATTGAGGAATTGGTATTTGTATGTTTTATTTATTTGTTCTTAAAAGTTCTAATGTCAACTAAATGAAGACTTATAGTAATTAATACAGTTGTGGATTTGATAAAAGTTATTTTGATAAATTTGTATTGTTCTTGAGTGTTAGAATTCAAGATGGCAGCATATGTTCTTATCTTATAGTTATTCATAGAAATCACTGTTTCTATTTGTATTGCACTGATGTTTGTAAATTACAGTTTACAGCATAATTAACAGCACGGTGAGACAGGTGTGAGACAGGTGTGATATAGAAGGAGTTTGGTCCACAATCGGTATGTTATATTATGTTTATATGTAATTGGTTATATATTTTGTAAATATATGAATGTTTTAAAGGAAATGATAAATTGCATAATATTTTATAAATAACTGGTTAAGTGGTCACTAGATGCAAGTTCAATAGGATGTTTACATATTCAGTTATCTATTTTGTGTATGAATGATCACATTTAGTAAAGGTACATTCTTAGTATATTTATATGGACTGATCTGTTAATAAAATGGATTTATTATATTTAAAGATAATATGTATATGTTTGTATCATATATTTCATGAATATATGGAATGCTTAATGTGTATATTTTCAGGGCTCGTTGCTATATGCTATATGCTATGTGATGCTAATTGTTAGTACTATATGTGTGCTATGAAATGTTGATCTGATGGACTATATATATTGGTGTCTACTACAAATTAAACAAGAACCAGCAACCCTCAAGTTTTGTTTTGAATTTACCCATAGGGAAAACACAACTGGGTCACAAATGGCGCCCAACGGGTTGAAAGTTGAATGTTAATTAAAGTACATTGTATCAAGTACATAGTACTTTAAGTATATTATTCTTTATGTACATTGTCCATTACGCGTTTAATCCATTGTCCGCAATGTTAAATTGTCTTAAGGAAGTTAAAAGTTAAAGTATGTTATTCTTTAAAGTGCACTGTTCTTTCATTAAGCATTCTATAATCTACGCAGAGTCTTAATTTGCCATTCTTCTTTCGTACCAGTACTATGTTCGAAGCCCAAGGAGATTTAGATGGTCTTATTATACCACATGCTAACAGTTGTTCCAAGTGTTGTCGAACTTCTTCTATCATATTTGGAGGAATGCGTCTATGACGTTGTTTAAATGGAATTTCGTCTAAAAGGTCGATTCTGTGTTTGACTTTATTACACTGTCCAATATCTGTATCACTTATTGAAAAAATGTCCTTATGTTTCATTAAGAGGTCTCTAAGTTGTTGTTTTTGTTGTGTATCTAACAGGTTATGCTCATCTACATTCAAGTTTTGAACTATCCTCTCTCTCTGTGAATCTAATTCATCTTTTTCTAATCTGGTGAACACTTCTTCTGTCACTGACACTGGCTGAATCTCACAAAGTATTTGTTTCGGTGATATTGTTGTACTTTGAGATGAAAGATTAGACATTGTCACTGTAATATTAGTATTTTTTCCATATTCATACTTGATGACTCCTGGTGTTATATCAATGAAGTTGGGTATTGTTGCATCTTCTGATGGTTGAATAAGTGCAGCAGTGACTGTATGATTAAGTTCTTTATCCAAGTATGCCTGAATGTTAACAGTTTCATTTGGTTTAAGAATAACTTTGCTAGGCATTGCATTTCTCACTATAGCAATCTTGTTTTTATTCTGGTGTAATGTCCTATCTCTAACAACCATTGATCTGAAGCAAAGGTACCATGGAACATGTAAGTCTGTCTTCTGTAAAAATTGTTCTCCAAAGTTTTGTTTACACTCTTCCAATAATTCTTTCAAAATATTTGTTCCTAGTATAACGGGTGTTTTAGATGAATAATTTGTGTCTGGTACCACTAGAAGTAAAACTGGTTGAGTTTTAGTGTTTGGAAGACCTTTCATTACTGTCAAATCTATTTCAATAAATCCTAAATATGGTAACTTTTGACCGTCTGCACATTCAATGTTAAGGATGTCTTTAATTGGTTGAAGTTCTGTGGTATCTTGTAGGAAATTCTTATAAAATGTATATGAAATCACGCTCACACAACTTCCAGTATCTAATAAAGCTGTTGTTTGATAATTGTTAATCACTATGTCAGCCTCATTAGTGTCTCCAACTAAATTGGGATCTTTCCGATCAGTGCCTTTGTTTGATCCCTCAACAAGTGCACTTATTCTTTTAAATCCTTGTTTGGTGTTGGTTTCTTAGTACAATCTCTTGCCATGTGTCCTTTCTCATTACAAATATAACAAGTTCCCATGAATGTGTTGGATGCTAGTGGTCTTCTTGGTACATATGTTCCACGTCCTCTTCCTTGATACCCTCTATTTCTATTCCATCCACTATAATATCCTCCTCGTTGTTGAAACCTGTAACCTCCCCTATATTGTTGTTGACCTCCATAATATGACTTTTGTTGTTGTTGTTGTTGTTGTTGTTGATCTGTCTTTTCAGCATCTTTTTCTTTTTGAAATTTGTCCATTTTAACTGCAAGGTCTTTAACTATATCTTTCAATTCTTCCAGTTCACTTTTCTTCTTTGGCTGATCATAACTTTGTTGAGTGGCATGACATGTCTTTACTTTGCCTGAAGAGTTGATGTCTGCTTCGAGTTTTCTAAGTTCCATCTTGAAGCGATCATAGTCTAGGATTGTTTCACTTTTATATTGAGCAATATGTCTTAATTCTGTATTAAGTCCAGTGAACTATTTGGATGATGAGGAAGGTATTGAAGAGGATATTGAAATAATTGATGAAGATAAAGAAAAAGAAGAAAGAATGGATGCATCCAAAAGAGAAAGTGACGTCACGAGCGAAGAATCTGAAGATGATGACAATGGATATTATCTTATCCCAGAGACAAGAGTGTATGGGGACGCCCATAAATCCAAAGTCAACATATCAGAAGAGAAAGTTGAAGAAACGAACATTACTTTAGTTGATAAAGATAAAAGAAACGGTGATACAGACCTTCAAGAAGTATCTGTAGAAATAGAGAGACCAGATAATAGAGAGACAGAGCAGAAGAAAGAGACCAAGGCTTCTTCTCAGATCATAGATGTGAGGACAGAAAGCTTAGAACAACATATAGAAAGAGATGAAGAGAATATACTTGAAGAACACAGAAATTTAGGGCACATAGACAAAACAACTGAAACATTGAAAGATAGACATGAAGATACATTGACATACAGAACAGACACAATAGAAGAAGAATATAGACATACTGATATAGAAAGAAGACAAGTAGAAAATGAGAATGAAAGTGTTGAACATAAAGAAGAAACCGATAACAGAAACTTAAGAGATAGAAGTAAAAGGCAATTAGAGGAACGATTGATAGAGCCACAGATAGATATCAATAATACTGTAGAAGTAACAGATACTGAGACAGACACAACACTAGGAGAAACTGACACACAGACACAAACAAAACAACTTAAGAGAAACACTAACAGGAAAAGACTTTTACCACCAGATCCACCAAGAAGATCTGATAGAGCAAGAAAACCACCAAAACGCTATGAAGATTTTCAAATGTATGGAATAGTTAATACAAGCACTACACCATATGATTCTCGATTCAAAGCTTTGGAGACATTAATTGGATCAGGAGTACTTCAAACCATGGACATAGACACAGCAAGAAAAATAGTAACATCTTTAATGTCGTGATAAGTTTTAAAATTTTAAACTGCTTTTAAGGTTTGATGATAATAATAAAAATAAAAAACCTAAATCATATCAAACATAATATAAAACCTTTGATATTATTATTTTAAAAATATAGTATTAATGTTCTTATGAGATATATCATAATGACATTTTAAATGGGGACATTTTATTTTAAGCAGGGGGGAGAAAGTTGAATGTTAATTAAAGTACATTGTATCAAGTACATAGTACTTTAAGTATATTATTCTTTATGTACTTTGTCCATTACGCGTTTAATCCATTGTCCGCAATGTTAAATTGTCTTAAGGAAGTTAAAAGTTAAAGTATGTTATTCTTTAAAGTGCACTGTTCTTTAAGAAGATTGTTCTTTAAGTACATTGTCTTTAAAGTACAAACATTTTTTTGATTAAAGGGAGTTGATCATATAAAGAATCATATTGTGTTTGGTATATTCACAATACATGTTTAATATAGTTAGTATAAATCTATGACTATCATAGATTTTAGTTAGTTAGTTGAAGTAGAGATATTTTGACGAGACAATGACGGGACGTCATTTAAGACGGGGCGGAAATGTGTAACCAAGTGCTATTTTTAAGGTTTTTACTATTTTCCAAGAAAGGTAACTCTGTCGACCTTGTTTGATTTTAATCTTTACTTTGGGTGATTATGTCCCCTTGACCACATTTGCTATTTGCTCAACCATAACGTTTCCCTCCTAAAGTTAGGGTCACTTGAGGTCATTCTTTGTGTAATCAGAAGTTGATGGTCATAGTGACATGAATATATGTTTTTCTGACTTAGAAATTATTAATAATAAGGATTTGGATTGAGGAATTGGTATTTGTATGTTTTATTTATTTGTTCTTAAAAGTTCTAATGTCAACTAAATGAAGACTTATAGTAATTAATACAGTTGTGGATTTGATAAAAGTTATTTTGATAAATTTGTATTGTTCTTGAGTGTTAGAATTCAAGATGGCAGCATATGTTCTTATCTTATAGTTATTCATAGAAATCACTGTTTCTATTTGTATTGCACTGATGTTTGTAAATTACAGTTTACAGCATAATTAACAGCACGGTGAGACAGGTGTGAGACAGGTGTGATATAGAAGGAGTTTGGTCCACAATCGGTATGTTATATTATGTTTATATGTAATTGGTTATATATTTTGTAAATATATGAATGTTTTAAAGGAAATGATAAATTGCATAATATTTTATAAATAACTGGTTAAGTGGTCACTAGATGCAAGTTCAATAGGATGTTTACATATTCAGTTATCTATTTTGTGTATGAATGATCACATTTAGTAAAGGTACATTCTTAGAATATTTATATGGACTGATCTGTTAATATAATGGATTTATTATATTTTAAAGATAATATGTATATGTTTGTATCATATATTTCATGAATATATGGAATGCTTAATGTGTATATTTTCAGGGCTCGTTGCTATATGCTATATGCTATGTGATGCTAATTGTTAGTACTATATGTGTGCTATGAAATGTTGATCTGATGGACTATATATATTGGTGTCTACTACAAATTAAACAAGAACCAGCAACCCTCAAGTTTTGTTTTGAATTTACCCATAGGGAAAACACAACTGGGTCACATTTTAGGCAGGAAACAATTTATAAATGTTTATTCATTTTCGATTAAAATCTAATGTTTAGAGCATTAGTTCTACCGTGATTTTAATAAGTTTAATATAGAAAATTTTCCCTGGTGAAATTTATTTAGACACCGGTATATGTTAGAAAAATGTTAACTCTTCTATGTCAAGGGTATTTAGCCCATAGGAACTCGAGAACGGGACCGCAGATTGCGGCGCATATTTTCGATCGTGTAACGGCTTTTAAAAACGTTTCTGCTACATCTAAATATCTTTAAGTATTATCCGAGCATATGGCCTCAAACAATATATTATCACTTTGAACCCAATCTGTTACTTTTAAAAAAACTGGTCAAATTTTACGGTATTATAAAATAAAGTTTCCTTTTAAAAGGAAAGGCTTGCACAGTTGTGCCTTCATAAAGTGTTTATTTAGTTGTTTTTTTTTTTGTTTTTTTTTTTGTAAAAACGAATATTTTTTGTCAAAACAATTTGAAATCTATTCTCTATTGTATAAAACTTGTAAAGAAAATAATCAATCACAAGAAAAGCATTGATGCAAAGCATCAAAGGGCGTCCAAGCAAGAAATGCAGCAAGTGAAGATGAACTAGTACACGTATGATGACAAGATATTCTTATAAACTACCAGAAATGTATACCACTTATGAATGAGCGGACAAAAGACATTGTTCATTATGAACTTTGATTGCATGCTAGAGATTAGAATATTACTTGTTATTTCTTTATAATCGTGGTTATTAATAGCAACGGATATACATGTATGCAATTTATTTATAATCCATATGTGTAACGCAATGATCAACACGTACCACACATTTGTCCCCTTATTAATTTATGTACATGTTAATCGTTATTAGCGAAGACCCCCTTAAGGTATCTGTTCACTCACTTTAAGCTAGTAAAAATATGACCACTGGTTTAATTACCATGTTGATCAATGTTGAGCATAATTGCTTTTTTAAACAAATTGTAAATACCTATTAAATTTTTTAATTTAAAAATAATACAAAATTTAGGAATATTGTTTTCTTTTATTCCTTTTTTTGGTGTTTATGTGCTATTTTAATACTGAGTTTTTACTACTCTTTTTATATTAAAATTGTAAAATAAAATTTTTACGGAAATTTAAATTTCATAAATTTACCCACGAAATTTTTAAATCAAACTTAACCGGAAAAAATCAGAAAAATTTTGGTTTAAACTTTCAAATATAAATTTTTATTCCCTTTAAAACCAAGGGACATGTACATTGTATTTTTCTTTATCATTTTTTAAAATTTTCGACCCTTTTAAAAAATTCATTTAAAACTAATTTGTAACTTTGAAAATTCCTCGGAAACTTTTCTAAACACCGGGAAAAAAATTGAAAAAATTTAAAAAAAATGTTTTAAAATTGAAATGTCCCTTTTAAAACCATAAAAAAATTTTAACCTTTTTTTCAATTAATTTTTCAATCACGGATTTTTTAAATTTCATATAAAAACCCCTGTAAAAATTTATTTTTTTTTATCTCCATATAGATAAAAGAAAAAATGCATTTTGTTTTTTCTAAAATTTTAACGAAAATCAAACATCTTTCTCCAAAAGGGAGGAACCGGAAAAAATATAAAAATGTGTACTATTGCCCGGGCCCCTAAATAAATCCCTGGTCAAAAAAGACCGGGAGGACCGGCATTTTCCCAAGGGGTGATAAAAAATATACTAAAATAGGGGTTTTTGGGAAATTTAGGTCAACAACTATCATTAGGAAAAAAAACCCCAAAAATAACATACCAAACATTTAAAACCACTGTGGGACTAAAAAAATTAAATTAAAAAAAACCCCCAAGAGGGGCGATTTTTGACGGAAAAGGTTTTTTCTTTTTAAATGTTTCCCTTTCAAAATTTATTTTAACTATCGCGACATTTTATTTTTTTTTAAAAAAACAACACCCCCATTTCCGAACGGAAAATTTTGGCTTTTTTTATGAAACCCACTAAAAGGCTCGAGAAGTGCTGTCGGCCCCTTTCCACAGTAAATCTGATTTCATTCCATAAGAGCGCCGCGCTTCGGAAGGGACGCCAATAAAAATACTAAACTCGCCAATCAAAAATACTAACTATCATCAATACCAGAAAAGGAAACAATGTGAACATTTCATTTCAGAGAAACATTCTTTTTGGCAGTGCCTAATTTCTTTTATATAGCATCCTTTATGAAAGAATGCACTAAAATACTTCTTTAGTTAAACGTGGTACCAAATTTAATAAGCAGATCGAACTAATTTTACACAACCAAAGATACGGTAAGGTAATGATATGCTTTGGCTATTTTAAGATTCCCCACTGCGTTCATTAGATCTAATTAAGTAATAACCCGATCAAATAGCACTAATATTCTCGTGTGTTTTGGTAAGCAAGAACCACCCTTTTGGAGACTTAACCTCCTCTTATTATAAGGATTATAGTTAATTATATAACAAAACTAATACACGAAAACACAATTATAAAAGAAACAAATACTGGCGTCGAAAAAAAATTTTAAAACGAAAAAATTTTCGTTTATAATTTTTTTAAAGGGTTTAAACCCCGAAAAAATTTAAAGAAAAATGGGAAAATTTTATTTATTTTAAAAAAACCGGGGATTACGGGAAGTAAAAAAATAGTTTAGTTTCCCGTAAAAATTTACTTCTTTCTGTTTCCCGCAGAAAGACGTTTCGCCCGAATTGTCACGTTTGGGAAATCGGAATACATGGGCCTTTTAATCTTTAAAACCGAAGAGGGGAGGGAAAGGGGCCAAAAATTTTGCGTTTGGGGCCCCGTTGCAGAGGGGTTTCTCGTTAAAATCTTTGCACTAACAAATGAAATTAAAGGAAAAAACCCAACCCGGGAAACCCAATTTTTCCAAAAAAAATGGGTTTTGCACCCGGGGGGCTGCAACCCAAAAAAAGAAAAGGAGACTTTCCGGGCCATTTCCCCGCAACGTTCGGCATGATTTTTCCCCCTTTCCCCTTACACTTGATTATTTTTTTTCAAATTTTTTGTTCCCTTTATCTTTGGGTAAACTTTTCAGGCACCCGTAAGGTTATTGTTTACAGGGTTTTTGACATGCACTATATAGTCGGCTTTTATAAGGGGCCCGTTGTGTGTTTTGATCTGTTAAAAATGGAAAAAAAAACAGCCCATTTTGTGATAGGGTTTCCTAAAATTTGTTGCGTAACTAAATTTTAAAACATGACCTTTAGATAAAATATTAAAGGGGCCCCAAATCGGGTTTTCCCTTTTTGGAATGAAAATTTTTCCCCTTTGTTTTGGGAGTGACTTAAAGAGAAAATAAAAAAAAAATCAAGCACATAAGGGGAAACTTACGCCGAACTTTGCGGCAAATGGGGGATGTCACCCCTTTCTTTTTTAAATTTATCCCGGTAAAATTTGCTGTTTTTTTAAATTAGCAGATTAACAAAATTTGGGGTAAGAAAATTAAAAAGACCATCCCCCTCGTATATATTAAAAAGTTTATTCAAAGGTCGGACAAAAAAAATTTATTTAAAGCGGGGTAGGGATTCAAAATTTTTTTGGGGGGGGGGGCCCCCCCCCAATAGGGCGGTCCTTTTCGAGTTCCTAGTTTTAGCCTGTTTTTAAAAAAACAATTAAAAAATTAAAATGCCTTTAATTAAAAACCATGCTTAAAATTTTTGCTTTTTTGGGTATCCCTTTTCCCAAAATTTTTAACCCAAATTTGGCTTTGATTGTGGGGGGAAATTGCCGGAGTTTTTAAATTAAATTTAGTTGAGTTGATTTAAGTTAAAAACAAAGCTATTTTTAAATTTTTTCCAGATGAATTAAACTTTTTCGGGGGACACGAATTATTTCACCCTTGGAAAAATTAAACCCGGGAGCAAAAATCCAAAACGGGGCAACCCCACCTTTACTGCTACTTTGTCCCCAACTTTAATTTTTTGGAACTTTTAATTTTTTGAAATTTTTTAGGGTTTTTTTTTTAAAAGGGTTTTTTTTTTGGTAAACATTACATGTATAATGTTTTTTGGAGTTGTTTTCCCTTTTAAATTTTCAAATTCCCCAAATTTGTTTAAACTAAGGGCCAAATTAACAAGTTTCCAAATTTACATTTAAAGTACCCCAATGTTATAAAAAAATTTTTCCCGATTCCCTTGTAAAAAAATGTAAACTTATTTCTTGTGTACAAAAAACATAACGATTGGTCAGGTTCCCTTGCAATCCATGTATTTTTAAAAACTTTTCCTTCAATTTTTCCAGAACCCTTGAATGGGGAAATTTCTTTTAAAAAAAAACTGATCAGTTTTTTTTGGCGCTAAAATTTTTTTCATAAAAATAAAGATATTTTCCCATTTTAAACAAAACCGGGATTTTTTAAAATTTAAAAAAGTTTCGATTAATCTTTTACTTTTTTGTCAAAAAATATTTTAACAAGTACATTATTTCCCTGCATCATTTTTCCCCGGGCATTTATTTTTAAAAAGAAAAACCCTTAACAATCACGTGGTATTGTGTATCAGTGCGAAAGGGAGTTTACTTATTGTTTTTGGCATGTTTTTTGTGAAATGTGGGACTTTACTGGATTTATCTTTAAAAAGACAGTGCAAAAAACATGCCCTTTTGTAGGCCTTTTCTTTTTTATGTTTTTTTTTGGTTTTTTTTTACTTGGGTTTTAATTTTTTTTTTGAAGGCTTTTTCTTTGTTTTTTTTGGGGTTTTTCTGTTTATTTTTTTGGGGGAAAATTTTTCCGTTTATTTTTTAATTTGGGGATTTTTCTGTTTTATTTTTTTTTGGGGGGGAATTTTTTCTTTTTAAGTTTTTTTTTTGGGGTTTTTTTTTTTTAAACTCATAACCGGAAAAAATTTCAGCGCTGTCAATCTAAACATAAATTTGGGAAATTTTGGATTTCAAAAATTTTATCCAAAGTTTGACGGAAAAGGTAAAAGAAAAAGGGCGATTGTTTTAAAAATTTTTAAAA